AAGAGAGGGATGAAATGAATTGTCAACTTCTGATGCATGAGTCCAATCGTATCCGTCCATCACAGAATTATTAGAAGAGAAAGGAGGGGTGTGATGGGTAGGTAGCATAGCATAGGTATTAGCTATTCCTATAAAAAAGGGTATGACCCACTTTCCTATTTCCTGTCCCGACACCACCCTCGGGTCTCGGCCTCACGAAACCCACTCCTCATCAATAGTCACCCACCTGCAACCTGTTCATTCTCCCCATCTCATTTTCTCAATACTTTCAAAATTATTATATATATATCAGTTCAAATAAATAAAATAAAATATATCTTAACCTATACACATTACTCCTATAAGATATAAATTTGATAATAAATTTTGTTTCTAGTACAAGTAAAAATTATTTAAACCTCATTTATGGCAAGTTTCATGAGGATCATATTATAAATTTTTATGTTAAAATCCTCAACGAAATATTTATTTTAAAGTAACTAATGATTATATTTTTTTATCAATTGTGTTGATTAATAAGGAAAATTATATTTACATCTTTTCTGGTTAAAAATTTTAGTTGATACTCCACCCTCTTTTAACATTACATTGACCTCTCCTAATTTGGATAATTGCATAAAAAAATTATGGATAGTTTCGGTGACAACAATTTTTTTATGGACGGATTGAAATTTTGAGTGAAGAGGGATCCCGAAAACAGGCGAATATGTGGATCCTAATTATGTTTAAATAGACTCGTCTATAGTTGCTCAACACTATATTGTGTAGCGTTAAAAAAATTCATATTTCAGTTGAGTAAAATTGAATTTAAACATGCATTAAATCTACTTAAATGTATATATAGTGTTTTTTTTTATGTTAGAGACCATTGCTAATAAAGGACTAATATTTGAAAAACTCAAATTATTTTAGACAATTTTATTTTTTAACACGTTCTGCGCTGGTCTGCAGACCAGCTCGAATGGAACTAGGTAACTTAAATTGATTCTAACCCAAGATATATTTAGGTCCAAAGGGCATGAGAAGACTAATCTCTTCCTTATTAATGTTGGATTGAGAAAATTTTGCATATGATCGAATTTAAACGTGGAACTTTCCGGTAAATAGATTCATCACACACATGGAAAGACAGTAAAGCCTTACACTATTATGTCAATAATTCAAGAAAAAAGGAATGCTTAAGTAGGTGTAAGTGTAATTTATTCTAATTAATAAAACTTTTATATTTTATCTTCACAATTTATATTATTTATAACTAATTACTTTGTTACTATATATGTATTTTTATCTTATGTTTTTTATTTTTTTTACAATGATATATTTTTCTATTAAGTTTAAAAGTATACAATTTAACATAATATATTTTTTAATTTAATATTTCTGTGTAAAGCAGAAATGATATGTCAATAAGATGGTTTATTTGTTTGTTTTAAAATAATACTTTCAATATATTAGTTAAAATTAGTTTACTTAAATTAATTTAGATACGTGTGTGTGATTCATCAAAATTAGACTCTAATTTTATTTAAAAGGGCTTTTCAAATTTTGTTCAGTTTGTTATTAATTGGCCCTACAAATATTTTATTGATAATGGGAATTAAATTTCTAGAAAATTGTATCATTTGCTTAAACATAATAACAAAATAAATTATAAATATTGACGAATTTTTATAGCACTTAATTTATTGAAAATAAATAATTATTTATTTTGTGAAATTTTTAAATTTTAAAATAAATATTTATTTCCTACAATTTAAGTTATCTGATCTCAAACCAGTGTTGATTTTTTTTTCCCAGGGTGTTGATGTTATTTTAAATAAACTTATCTAACAATAAAGACTGTACTATCTAATCATTCACTCTTGGATTTGCCACGTCAGCAGCGGGTTGCCACTCTCCACTCGTGCATGAGTCTCTTTTCTTTTATCTTTTTAAATTCATATTAAAAATATCTTCATAATAAAAGTACTTAGGTAGCCCTTTATTGTGTCTTGATCCTCTATAATTTTTCAAAAACGTTAATATATATTATCTTAACAATTATTTTATTATATGAATGGTAATAAAAATGATATAATACTGGTGCGGTTAATTGTTGGATGACAAATTACACATTTTTTTTCTTCAATTTATGATTTGTGGAGGAATTGAAAAGAAAAATAGATGGGAATGTTTTGAAAATTAAACTAAATTCGTTTATTTGAATTGATAGAAACAAAAAACTCATTAATTTGAAATTAAATGAGATTGAGACATATACCTATATCATTGAGGCAGTAATTAGTCCCCCAAGTGTTGTAAGAAAGTACTAATATATTCCAAAGTATAGTATGAAATCTTATTATGAAAAAATAAAATTTAAACACCTTTTTTTTTATTGATTTTAAATGATTTAGACGGGGTTTCTTGCTGTTGGTACATATGCATGGATTTTACATTGTTACGTTCTGCTATAACTCATTATACATTTCAACAGCAAGTAATCAGTTTTAATTTTTAGTATGTGCTAAGAACCTCTAATAATAACATAATAACACATATTTTTTAAATCCATAACTATATTATAGTACCGTATTGTCTTTTTGGATTCACGATGAATTCCTCACCACCATTTACAATACTTATATCGGATTAATCCTCACTTTGGGTGCACCCAAAGTATTCATGCGCCCTTAGTCTGTCTCAAACAATTATGAAACATTTTAGATTCATATAATCTCAAGCATGGGTTATACCAATATCATTATGGGAGATTCCTCCCATGCTTGTATGATGTTACGTAGATGATGTTTTCATTCAAATAATATAAACTCATGCTTATAAATAAATAAAAAATTCTTAAACTTATGCAATCTAAATATGTTGTTATTGTATCAAAATTCTCTCTTACTCAAAGTATCTAGTATTATTCATAAAAACATTTTCTACTATTACTTAATCATTCTTTTACCATCAAAATTATCACGAGTCTCCGTCTTAAATAGTATTATCATCATTCAAGATCTATATTAATAATATAGCATTAAAAAGTTAACGATTTTTATTTAAATTTATGTTGAATTGTATTTAAAATAATTAAAAGATATGCATTTATTTTATTTTTTTAATAGCTAAAATTTATTATTTAAATTGTATTAGTATCATTCTCGTATTTAATAGCTAAAATTTATTAATTGTGAGAAAATTATGCGAGTTTTTTAATTTAATAACTATTAATTTTAATATAATTTAGCTAATAGTTAAAATATATTAATTTTAATTTTGACAGAAGACATATTAAATAAGAAGTTTTTTTAAGTGAGAATGAATGAATCAATTGTTAAATTTAGTATTTTTATCACAAATAGTCATATTAAAATACAAATATTATATTATCTTTTCAAATAATTGTGTTACATTGACCTACTTTTAATTTTAATCATCTATTGATAGTTGGACTAGAATTTATTTCTCCCATTACCTCATAAGAATGAATAACCTTTCTACTAAGCATGTCACCTCTTCTTAACACATACACACGCACAATTTACTCCACCTAATTGTTTTTTACATAAATAAAATTTATTAATTTTATTATTGAATTAATAATTCCAATCAAATAGTTTAAATGTGAAAAATTTTAAATATTTTAAAATGACTTAATATATTTTTATCAACTTTATTTTAACATAAGTATAATGTACTTTTAGAACATAATTAAATAATAGTTATAAGATTACGTAGTTATATTTAATTACCTAAATTTTAAGATGCACAATTATTAAATGGATAGTGACGAAATAAGATGGTAATTGAACTAAGAAGCGCACAAGCAATATAAAGAAGATAATAATTCGTTTCCTTTTATGATGAGATTATGCATCCGTAATTATTCCCCTCCTCTTGTAATGATTTCAATTTCAAAAAGCAAATTAATGTTCAAACTTCGAAAATTCCCATTCTCATATAACTTTCATCCTCGTCTAAATGATAGCCGTATAGTTGACTTCAACATGTTAATCACTTAGACATCATGGTAGAAATAGAATTCCACAGTTGATGTTGAAAATTCAGCTGTTCAACTTAATAGAGAACACGATGAGCACGATAGAAACACACGTGATTCCACACAACTCAGAGTTAGCTTCCCAGATAGTGCAATAGAGTTGGAAGAAAAATGACTATTTGGGAAATCGAGAAATGTTTGCGAATATATTAATGAGATTGAAATTACTGGATTTGGATGCATAAATAATTAACTGGCTGTTACTAATCTATATGTTAAAAAGTAAAAATTAAAAAAAATCGCAATCGTCTGGTATTATTAATAAGGAAACAAAGTGGAACCAAAATGAATATGGAAAGGTAGTAATTAAGTTAAAATAATTTAAGGTAAAACAGAAGGGAACACGTTAATTTTGGTGTATGGAATCATTACCAAAAGTCAAAAAGGTACCATCGGAGACACTATACACGCGTCAGCAAGACAAACTCGGCTGTCTTCCATTCGTCGTTTCACTTTAAGCCACGTGTCATGAAATCATTAGCTGACCAAACATCATAGTAAAAATAATATAATACTACAATATACTATAATAGTTTTCTATCTTTTTCTTCGGCTTAGGGCTTAGGCTTACTCCTCCCAAACACTCCAACCCCACCCCTCTCACTGTACTGAACAACGACACAGAAGGAAGCAGCATTGTTCTTGAAAAAGCGAAAGAGAGAGAGAGAGAGAAGAGATTCACATTATCACACTAACACTAACACTAAATCACTAATATTAAACAGCGAAAGAGAGATATAGAGGGAGAGTTAAATTGATCTCAATCTGAATATCTCTCGTAGTGTCGTACACCATACACCACACGCATACACTTGTACACAGACATGGGACCATTTCCCTGCGTTTAAAATTTGATCTTTTTCGTGGACGACAGGATCCGACTCTGCCGCTTAACTCTTCCCTCTCCACATCCTTCTCTTTCAACTTTCTTTTTCTCTCTCACTCTCTTCTTCTTCTTCTTCTTATTCCTCCCTCTCCTTTGTGACTTCAAAGCAGTCTCATGGAAATGGAGGATCAGCATCATCATCATCATCACCATCATCATGAACAGCAGCAACAGTATGGCATCACTGATCTGAGGCAACTAGTGAATGGACCAAGGTCTACCCATTTCCCCTCAATACCGCAGCAACCCACGGCGGAGCTCTTCCCCGCCGGCCACCCGAATCTTGCAGCCACACAACACTACGAGATGATGATGTTTGGTCGTCAAGTAGCTGACATAATGCCTCGTTGTCTTCATGACTTTGCCTCCAACGATTCGGCCACTAACACTAGCATCGCTGTTGCCACTCCTACCACCACCACTAGTGCTTCAACTCCTCCTCTTAGTTGCTTAGAGGCTGAGACCGCAGGTTGCATCGGCGGAGACGCCTCCACTGGAAGATGGCCCAGACAAGAGACTCTCACTCTTCTTGAGATCAGATCTCGTCTTGACTCTAAATTCAAAGAGGCTAATCAGAAGGGCCCGCTTTGGGATGAAGTTTCTAGGTACCAATTATTTCTATTTTTTTCTTCTTATTTGAACAGTGCTCACCTTCTTCTGTTTTCAACTTGTTTCTTTTTCCTTAACTCAAACATGTGAGAGTGATAAATGCTTGTTTGTTGTTTCGGTTTGTTAAAAAACAAAGAGTGGATAAAGACCATAATTCAATATTTGTGTAACTAGCTTCTTGACAGTTTCCTACTAAGATAACTGCACTTGGTTTTGGTTTGGTTGAGAAAACCGCGCTTTCTGGAAACTGATATAACTCATATAGCAGGATGCAATTTTGTTTTGTTGAGTTTCTTAATACTGGAAATGACTATACACATACACTGGTCGTCTCTCTACTCGATTTTCGATCATTGATCGCGTACTTCAAAGTGTTTTTAAGTTCATATACCAAGATTAGTACGGCTCTACCACTGTCCCCTTTTCCCTTTTTGAAATGTTGTACCCTTTTCAAGTGCAAGTGCCAGCATCCCCCTTTTTTTTTTTTTTTCAAAATTCATTCAACTTTCGGATGCTAGCTTTTGCACCTATGTTAATCCTAATTCTAACTCATGGAATGACATCAACCGCAGGCTCTTCCTTCAATAAATTATTTCTATACCAATTCGAATGGTCATTTGCTTAGTTGTATTTGCTAAAACTAGGCAGCAATATTAAAATGTGATCAGTGCATGACATTGCATACAATTTTTATTACGAACGTTCATATCATTCATGGCTCAGACTAGGGTTCCATCACCTACAATGAACTCAGTTCTTAGCCTTTTGTTGTTTGTGTTAATGTTCAAGGATCATGTCAGAAGAACATGGATATCAAAGGAGTGGTAAGAAGTGCAGGGAGAAGTTTGAGAACCTGTACAAATATTACAAAAAGACAAAGGAAGGAAAGGCAGGAAGACAGGATGGAAAGCATTACAGGTTCTTTCGTCAACTTGAAGCCTTGTATGGTGAAAACAGTAACCAAGCCTCAGTTCCAGAAACCAATTTCGTTAGCAGCAGCCTTCGTTTTCAAACAAGCAGTCACAACCCCTCTCAGACAAATCAAGAAATGTTTCAGTCTCAGAAGCATTGTGATAGCCTCAGCCTCACTAACTCCACAGAATTGGACACGTCATCTTCTGATGACAATGATCATAATAGCATTGGGGGACACAAAGACAATGACTCCGTGGAGAAGAGGAGAAAGAGGGTGAGTGGAAGAAGCTGGAAGGTGAAGATAAAAGACTTCATTGACACACAGATGAGGAAGCTGGTGGAGAAGCAAGAGGAATGGTTGGACAAACTCACAAAGACACTGGAACAGAAGGAAAAGGAGAGGGTGTTAAGAGAAGAAGAGTGGAGGAGACAAGAGGCTGCAAGGTTGGAGAGGGAACACAAATTTTGGGCTAAAGAGAGAGCATGGATTGAAGCCAGGGATGCTGCTTTAATGGAGGCTTTGCAAAAATTAACAGGAAGTGAGATAAAGAGTACTCAATCTCCTGAGGGTCTAATGGTAACTGGAATTCAAAGCCACAATGAAAACCAGAATGAAGATGGAAGTGAAATACTAAATAGCACTGCTAGAGGTGTTGAAAGCTGGCCAGAATCTGAGGTTACAAGGCTTCTACAGTTGAGGGCTGAGATGGAGGCAAGGTTTGTGCAAAGTGGGTGTTCGGAAGAGGTTATGTGGGAGGAAGTAGCAACCAAAATGTCTTGTTTTGGCTACGAAAGGAGTGCTTTGATGTTCAAAGAGAAATGGGAAAGTGTCAACAACTACTCAAAGAATGCTAAGGATGGAAACAAGAAGCGCAAAGAAAACTCAAGAACCTGTTTTTATTTCGATAACAGTGACCAGTCTTCTCTATATAACCAAGGAGGTGCCTATTGTGATATCAATGATCAAAGGCAAGAGACTGGAAGGCTGCAAACAAATGATGGTTCTTCACCTTCGAATTCTAATGTTGGAAATGCAGTTGCGGGTGATAACTGCTTTCCCTTCTTCATGGCCGAGGGGGGAAATTTGTGGGAGAACTACAGCTTAAAGGTTAATAAAGCAAACCAAAACCAGTGATGAGAGTGAAATAAAGTTGACTCTTATGAGGCACGAAAATTTCACAGCCTTTTATTGCGATGATCTCACATTATGTAAGCAAGAGCTAACTGAGGGTTTTATGTATAGAGACTGATGATGATAATTAAGGTGGTCAATCTTATTATATTTATGGGAATCAAGGTGAAAAATAATGTGTTCAAGTCACGTACGTAAGTTTAATGAGGGAGACTTTGGCAAATATTACTGAATTGTTGGGGTATGAGTATGACACTAATTCACCAGGTGAGTTTCTCGTGGTAGATTTCTTTTATGTGAGCTAATGGAATTTGCAATTGTATCACTTAATTCATATGCTGCATCTTCAATGATGTTTATATCACTGATTGGTCATTGTCTTTCTTCTTCCTTCCTCACCCATCTTTGCATCTTTTTGTGTAATTTTGGGATATTTAGCAGTACGGACCTTTTGTGTTTGTGTTCTGAAGGCTGTAATTAAGGTAGCAATTTATTTGGTTTTATTTATTTATTGGCCAATATTTTCATGAACGGGAAGAGAATGATTTATTAATGAATATTGTTTAAGCATTGGACATTGTATTTACAAGTATTATTTGTACATATGCAGATAAATACTGGATCATTACTATGACTAATTAGTGGCAACTCTTCGGGGTGTGTTTTTCGTTTTTCTTTTTTCTTTTTTCTTTTTTATCTTTTATCTTTTACTTTATTTTTTAATTCAATAAACATTAACTCGGTAGTCTAGTTTAATTTAACTAGCCATGTTACGGAAAATAAGTAGGAAATTGGAGTTGTTATTGAACTAGTATATGGTGCATTGCAGCCTTGCGTGCGTACAATCGTTGCAGACACATTAAACTAAAAGTGTTGCCAATTTTTAATTACTTAAAGAAAGTTCTCATGTTTGTGTAATTGAACGGTTGCAGCAATAAACATGCATTGGACCCCAAAAAAAGGCATTTCAGAAGACAATGTTTTGTCTTTTTCGCCTACTTAATTAACCAGAATGAGCTTAGCCTAAACTTAAACCATAATTCGATTCCACCCTTACTCTCAAGTCACAACGTGGTGGCTGGTTGCAAATGAAGTTTTCTATTTACACGAACAAAAAGTTATAACTCGGGGTTAAAGGGGAAAATGGATAGAGAAAAGTGCAACTAACGAGAATATATACATACATTCCAACTTCTTCTAGTAGAACATCTTTGTACTGTTTAGCTTGATAGGTCACTAACATGACCATACTATTGGCTGGTTTGTACAGAAAGATCAATAAATGTTATCCAGCAAAGTAAATGCACGAGAATTCTCAAGCAATACAGTTCCCAGTTCCTTAATTATTATTTTTTTATCAGATTCCCAATTCAATTGTGTGGTCCTAGTTGGTTGTGTGATATAGAACAATAAAGAAGCAAAATCGTCGGAAGTAGCTCATTTGGCTTAATTACCTCCTTTGTGGCCACTTTTTATGGTTGCATGTAGAAAACAAGGATATATAATAAATCGACATAAAATCCAGTTCTAAGCCCGATAAGGTTCCCTTTGAGCATGCTTAATCGTTTATATATATATATATATACCTTAACCACATCATTTACGGATTAAAGAAGCTTGTGATGCTATACATGTAATAAATAATACAGACAAAAACAAGGAGGTTTGTTTATACTTGTGATTTGAAAGGTGATTTTTGGCGAGTTTCCTTGGAATAGTGATGAATAACCTGTGTAGTGTGTACCCTACCTTGACAGATACGTGAGCTTGTGAGTTTTGACCTCTTACATACAAAGATCAAAACCCTACCTTGCGTGTCCTTGCGTATGCCATGGAAACGTGAATCAACCATTAAATACATTATAAAGTCACGAAAGCGAAATACCCCACATCCCAAAACAAAATATTTATTTATTTTTTGAAAATGAAGATATTGCAGTAACATGACAGAGCGCCTTTTCTGTGCAGTCTAATATTTTCTTGCATTTTAAGGCTGTTGTGTGTGGTACTGGCACTACTATCGCTACTACAGATTCAGATACATACATTACATACATACACATATTTTATATATATATATATATATATTAGTGATGCATCTTACACTTCTGGACAGACAGTATCCGTACCTGGGAAAGAGAAAAGAAGTTTCCTGCTAAAGGGAACCAAACACAAGGCGTCGGGGAGACATATTGGCAGTCATTATCGTCACACACACCCAAATCTTTCGTTGCACCCTCATCAGCTTTTTACTCTCCCTCTTTTCCTTCATTGCCTTGTCTTGACGCTTATTAGAGGCAGTTAAGTAATTAGCAGTCAAAGGAAGCCAAAATCACGTCACGTGTGCAATAATGGAAAGATGAGATGAAATTAAAGTATGTGTAACAATGTGCTTTTTCTCTGATGCCCCTGACGTGACTACTTAGTCAGATGCACCCTGCAGTTCAAGTACTTGAAGAAAAATAAAAATAAATTAATTATGTACCATAGAATGAATCCATGTAGAAAATTCGCTTTTAATTAATTTGTGCTGTAAAAGGCAACCATTATTCATCTCAACCGTGTTAAAAATGCGCAATCAGGTTCTGACTTCTGAGGGTAGCGCGAGGGAAAGTGCTATTGTTGTCTACATAAAGGGTTATTAGTATAGGCTAGGCCAAAAATAACTACCCTATCGTAGCCACTACAATAACTCTTAGCCTCAAGACACTACCACTTTCCCATTTGCCTTTTTTCCCTTTAATAGAGGTGAAGAAAAAGGGGTGCACAATTAAGTTTTAGTAGTAGGGATCTTACTCGATCAAAGTCAGCTTCACTAGGCTCAGATTTGACTAGAGATGAAAGCCCCTTTGTTTTGTTACATTTTTTGTCGACCTGCTTTGTGTTAGAAAGCCCAACAATTGAGGGTGAAGTGAAAGAATACTATGATAGTACCACTCAGTTTTTGGGCCCAACCTGCGATCGATAAAACAATTAAGTCCAACACCTACACTACATTGAATCTTTGACCCAACACAAAGGTATTGTTTGTTGCACAACGTAATGGTTGAAAGATTTATGGACCGTACCCTAAAAAATGGATTTATAGACCGTTGACCATGGCCCCAAAGCAAAAAAGTAAAGGTTAGAGGTTTTGTTTATACGTCCATGACTATACTCTATAGGACTGAAAGCAGGAAAGTCTGTGAGAATTCGTTACAGACATGATTCACGTGAAAGAGATTCCCATTGTTGCTATTTTAATTTTAAGAAAAAGATGAACTAGCTTTCGGCAAGACGCAACAAAACCATCATCCACCAATATTAGAACACTTAAAATATTAATAATTACAAGCCATTTCGTCCTGAAAAATGCTCGCTTACTCTTGATTAATTTATCAGTTTATTCCATCAAAAGTTTAATCTTTGAACGGAGAGACTAAGATATTAGAAATTTAAACTTGAAAAGGCAAATTAAGAAGATGTACGTGCATCATACCAAATTAGTATCTAAGTGGAAGAGTATAACCAAGAAAATCGTTGTGGTCACTCCGGATATCTTGGATCTTACGGTCATAACAAAATAATTTCTATAGTCAAAAAGATTTATCGGCTACAAAACCATAATTTTACTCCATCGAAAAACAATTGAAATTCGAAACGGATAATTGCGAAGGTAAAGCTCTTAACCAACGCCTATGCTGCCCAGCAAAATGCTTTTTAACATACAAATTGCATTGAAACATGGAATGACACCACTCCATAATACAGCAAAACTCAATCAGAGAAAACAAAACAATAACACGGCGGGGGCAACAAAACCAAGCCAATTTAGCTTGATGCTCTTATTCCTTAATCCATAATACTCCTATTAACCCTATGAAAGAACAGAAAGCAAAACAGTCGAGTCTAACTCTATGAAAGAACATGAAAATGTTGGTGCCAAATGTTCAAAAAGTCTCTCAAAATGAAGCAAACACCTCGTTGCTTAGTATTTGTAGTCCTTGACATGGAGAGACTCAGAGGCACCCTCAGCAAGGGTTGCATCACCTTTGTAGGTTCCAAGGGTTGCTTGTGAGTTCGCCGTGCACCTAGTGATGAATGCGTCCTGGGCGTTCTTGATGTTTTCTTCCTTGCCAGCCCATGCCTTAAGAGTACTCTGCTGAAGAGCCCTTCCAAAAGAGAAAGAAAGAGACCATGGCTTCTTTCCTTGGAACTTGTTCATGGCATTGAGGTTGAGGGTTGCTTCCTCCTCACTCTGCCCACCAGACAAGAAGACTATGGCAGGAACGGCAGCAGGAACAGTTCGCTGCAAAGCTCTAACTGTGTATTCAGCAATCACCTCCGGGGCAACCTTTGGAGACTGTGAACCGGGGGTCACCATGTTGGGCTTCAACAAAGTACCCTCAAGCAGAACATGATGATCATTTAAAGCTTTGTAGCATGCAGCAAGAACACGCTCAGTCACCTCAGCACATTTGTTAATGTCATGTGATCCATCCACCAGGATCTCTGGCTCCACGATAGGAACCAGGCCATTCTCCTGGCATATGACAGCATAACGAGCTAGACCGTAGGCATTTTCGTGGATAGCCAGCTCAGATGGTTCATTTGGGCCGATCTTGAGCACAGCACGCCATTTAGCAAATCGGGCACCGGCTTCATAGTACTTCAGGCAACGCTGGCCAAGGCCATCCAAACCTTGAGTAGTGGTTTCCCCATTAGTTCCAGCAAGATCTACAGTACCCTTGTCAACCTTGATACCAGGAAGAACTCCACCTTCCTTCAACAACTCTACGAAGGGTTTTCCTGCAATTAAGTGCAGCAAAAGTAGTTCAGAAACCAATAATAACTCAAAATTATGGCAGGGTGTGGATGAAAATTGAAGCAAAGTAAAAGTTAAGAAAACTATTACAACAAATGATTATATAATAAAGGTGAGAATAAGATATTTGTTTATTACCCATGATAAGATACTTAGCATGGACTGTAATCTATCATTTAAATATCATAAAACTGAGCATCAATACCTGCAGCCGTGCTTTGATATAGGGTTTCCTCAAACAAGATCACACCACTGAGGCACTTAAAAGCACCAGGTGTGGTGAATAGAAGTTCACGAAGAGCACGCCTATTTGCTTCAACATTCTCAACATTAATGCTAGCCAAACGCTTGCCAATTGTCCCGGTTGACTCATCAGCAGCAAGGATACCCTTCCCTGGGCTGCCAATGTAAGCAGCATTGGCAATGAGTTCATCTGCAATTCATGCATATTCATTAGAACAATAATCCCACTTCAATTTGAAATGAATAAACAAGGAGGCAAAATAAGCAACCCCTGGCAGTTACTTCCCTTCCTAAACAAAGATAAAATGACAACTTATTCAAACAATTGAACTGACTTAAGAGAGTTTGATCGGAACTACAGACAGACAAATTGAACAATATTTTATGAATTCAAAATTATTGATTTGTATTGCTTCAAGGCGGGAGGGATCTAGAGGGGGGCCAGTTTCCTCCTCAATTTTTTTAAAAATTATTCAGGCAAACTTTAATTTTATACACACAGACACACGTGTGATATATAAATTTGTCATCTCGTAATTTTCTAATACCGCCAAAATTTTCAACAGGCAACAGTATTCCTGCTTTCAGTATCATTTTTTTCAGAGATTCATGCAACTTCATCACTCAGATAGTAGATCTTACTTTTACACCAGCAAGCCCAAAAAGATCTAACTGTTATTTAAAAAAACAGATAATCTGGTCTATTCAGTTTTACATAGAAAATCTCAACCAAAGGACATGATGTCCATTCAAAGTCACGAACGAACAAAAACACCGAAGCATCAAGGGAGATACAAGCATAAAAAATATTAAATCTACAAGTGCTTCATTTTTCAACCAGAACACAAAATCATGGACAAAGTTTAATCTTTTCGATTAATAAAAACCCTCAAACACAGATCCGAACATAGATCTAAAAGAGTAAACTCACTTTGCCATCTTGGGTCACCAAAGTATGACGCAGAGCAAAAAAATTGACAAAAGAACCATCCAAGTTAGAAAAGATAAATTTTTTACAGCGGAATCAGCACACCCAAATGAGAAAACCACAAGCTTAGCAAATCAGCATAATTATTCAATCACAAACAACCCAGACAAAACAAAAACAACAGGGGGGAGACATCGACGACAAATCGAGAAACCTTTGAGACATATATGACAAAAGACTAAACGCAGAGGCTATGATTAATGAAACAAAAGGAGGCACCTTGGTATTTGCTCTTGAAGGAAGACATGGTGGCTTAAGTGTGAGAGAAGAATACGAGGGTTTGGTTTGTTTGACAAAGTGAGAAGACTGAAGAAAGAGGGATTTTAAAAAGCAAGTGTCAAATGTGAAAAGTTGGGTGACTATTTATTACCGTAAGATATGGTGGCGTGGAAAGAGGGGGTAGGTGCGTTACAATGTCCGTGTTCTCTTTTCACTTTTAATGTTTTTATAATTCAATACTTTTATTTCTAAATTATTATAATTTTATATTTTTGTTAATTTCTTTCATTTAAAACTTGAATTTTCGTTAAACTAAAAATAATTTTAAGATAAAGTTGAGATAAAACATATTTTAAAAGATTTATAAGTTAAAATTTGGAATTATTTTATAGATTAAGAGTTGAAAGAAGTGAAAATCAAGGACTCTGAATATTGGGGAACTTAGATATTTTAATTGAAAATTTTTAAGAAAAATGTTTAAAATAAATTACGCGGTTTGATTTATATAAATTTTGAGAAAAAATTAAAAATTAAAAATTTTAATTAGACAAATAAAAGGAGTTCATTTTAACAATAAAAATTAAACAGAAAAATAAATAAATATTTGATTTAAACATCAAAATAGTGCACTATCAAGCAATGGATAAAAGTAATATTAAAATTTATTATTGTTTAACTTCAATTAAATAAGAAGATAATTATTGCTTTTGCGATCATTTTTTTTTTATCTAACTCGTTTTAACAAATCCCAGTTCAAAAACAATGAGGTGAACGGTGAACTCATTTATCATCTTTAAGATTCCTAATGAAACTTAAAAAATAAAATAAAAAGAGATTCGTAACTAACTCTCAAGAATAAATTTTAAGATAATAAAAGATAAAACAAAGATTCTTATTCTTTTAAAGAAATTGTTTTTTAATTTGATAAAATGTTTTTTTTATTAAAATATGAAATAAAACATTCAAAAAGGCCAGATGCTTATTCTTTTTTTGTGGATTTAACCAATGTTCTCCCAAGTGAGAAATCACACAACCTTTTTAGGACCTGGATTTAAAATCATTGATCATGTTAGATTTTTTTTTTTTCAACTAAAATATTTATTCAGTGTATATTTGAATTATATTTTTAAAAATATTTAAATTATTATTTATATATAATTCTCAAATATTTATATAAAAAATGTTGTATTTGAATTCAAATAAAATGTAATTAAAAATTAATTAATTTTTTAATTATTTAAAATAATTATTTTAAAATTAAATAAAAATAAAAATAAAAATAAAATTACTTGTAAATTTAATTTTCATTAAAAATGAATAATTATGAAAAATAAGATATGAAATATAAATTTAAATACAAATAATTTATCAATTTTAATTATTATTTCTAAAATCTTGCATGTTTTAAAAACAGTTTCCTATATTAAAAAAAACTTAATATTATAATTTACTTTTCACCAGTATTTTTTTTAAAAAGGAATAAATATATCTTTTTTAATAAAAATCATACTATAATTTCTAAAAGTAATTCAATCTATAAAAACTGAATTGTGATCAAATGCTTATTCATTCAAAAAGGAACAGAAAGTAAATTATAAAATTCAACTTTGTGTTTGTATTGTAATTTATTTGTTTTGGTATATGTATAAATTTTGTTTTTGAATTTTTTTATCTAATTGATTTTTTCTAATTTAAAATTGTATAGATTTATTTTTCTAATCTGAATCATTCAAAATCGCAATTTTTTCTACTTAAAATAATAATAAATTGAATTCATTAAATTAGTTTAAACTTTTTTTTAAATACATCAATTCAAGCATCAAATTTCAGTTAAAAATATAAAAAAAAAATCAAAATTGTAATTATTCAGGCCCTAATCTCACATCTTTTTTTTTTTACTTTTAAATTTTTTACTGTGTTTTTTTTACTTTTAAACATTTAAAATTTTATTGTATGATAAATTTATCTAAAATAGCTCAAATATTTAAAAACCAATAAAATCAGAATTTTAAGAAAAATAAAAAAATAACAAATTAAACTTTTGCCTGTGATTTGAAAAATATATCCAACATGTTAGCCAACACTTTTACTTCCACCTCTTTTGTAGGTAATTTAATTTTGTCCTTTGATGGAAGCTTCTAAAACCCAAAATATCTCTCTACCCTTCATTTTCATTACATCATCACCACCGTCCTTCACTCTATTTCACCAAATGCTGGAGGATGCTATCAGTGTCTTGGATCACTGCATAAGTTTGCTTGGTTTTCTTTTCCATTTAGGAGTTGAGTTGTAGAGCTAATTGATATCCTATTTTGATCAAGAAATAGAGCTAATCGAATACAGAAATGTGAAATTATTCGGAAGGCTTTTATTATTAACAATGCATTTATTAATTTGGAAGGCTTTTATTTGGAGTCGAAAAAATTAAGATAAATAATATCTCGTTCCAAGTTGAAAAACAACATAATTAATTGACATTGATAATGTTACGTGCGAGTCATTGCTTGAAAAAGTGTATACATTCTGTACCTAATAATGTCTGTTTATCCTTCACCACATGCAGAGACAGATGACCCATAATTTTGCGTAAATAAAGGGCGAGTTTTCTACAAATTTCCTAGCTAAATCAAGTAGATATACAGCCTAATTTTTCTCTAATCAACCCCTCGACTATAATTAAACCAATCATTAATATATTATTCGTGTAAATCCCCACAAAACTAAATAAAAAGGACGTTTTCAGAGTGTGACTCAAAAGTTAGGCTAGCTGAGGTCGTTCTTATTTGTACTAATTTGGGCCCCAGAAAACTCAGCATGAACACATGTCCTAACTTATGAAGCCAATTTCGGCAATAAAAATTGTACAGAAAAGACATGCGCGAATGGAGGCTTTTATTGATTCATGAAAAGTTGAAAACCCCCACGAGACTGATGGGGATTAGGAGCAGTCAAATATAAAAATGTCCACTGGATGAAATAAGAAAACAAAAACTAAATCAAAAAGGAAAAAGAAAATGGCCATTCGAAATGCTGTGGAGGGGTTTGGTGTGGAGTTTGACATTCAATTGAATTTATTACTACTAAACCCAGAGAGTGACATGTATAGCCCAACGCATGTGTGTTAGGTTTGGGTTTGGACTTTTTTTAAGTTAAAAGGAAGTAGGACCTTACTTTCTATCTGCCTGCAATTGCAGTTCACCATTTCTCGTGGTTGCCCTCGTGACTCTCTCCCCACTTGTCTTTTTTCTCCTGCTTTTTGGTATTTTTCACTTCCAAGTTTTAAATTTGGACAAAAGGTATATGCAAAAACAGTAAAAAATGGAATATATAAAGTAAAAATAAAATTAAAACATTCTTCTGTTTTAAAATATAAATATTTAAAAGAGGTTTAGGAAAAAAGTCACCTTTCATAGTTTCATCTTATCAACACAACCCAAAAAGGTAAATGCCAAAATCACGAGGCCCTGGCAGTTATGGCATAGTGAAGCATTAAGCATGGTGATCCTCACGTCACAATTAACTTACTCAGGCCAGAGTCTAAAAACTGATCAAGTCATCAAGATATAGCATTCTCAAATAAACTTACAATTATACTATAATTAGGAAATTATAATTAGTTTGTAATTGCTTACACTTAATTAGGATTGTTTAGTAGTTAGTTGGATTTCAACTGGTATATATATAAAGACTACGTAAACTCAAACATTCTTGCATATTTAATCAAATTCATTTTACGATTTACTTCAATTCTTCTTCTTATTATTACATCATGTTTCTTAACACTTATAATTTGATTAGATTTACCCAACAATGATACCATTTATTTCGTATATGATGTAAGTATTCCAAAGTGGCATGAACTGGAGCATTGGAGCATTGGACAGGGTGATGATGGTGACTCCATATTATTTAATCGCTTTATGACTTCTTATTTGTTGATTAACGACGGTTTTTTCTTTATTCCTTATTGAGTTTGGCGTTAATAACAGAGTATAATAAAAGCAGCTTGTCTTACGAGAACACAAGAGGTGAGGTGGGGCTAATTTACGCCAATAGTTGTACATATTTAAATTAAATAAAATTATGATTTGACTATGATCCAGAGAGATTATAATTTTAGTCATTTTAATTTAGATCGCGAATAATTTGGTCTCTTAATTGTTTTTAATTGATGATTTTTTAAAATAAATATTTTGTATTGTTGTCATTTTGTTTTACCTAAAACTCCCCTACGTACTGATCTTATTTTTATATTCAAATAGTTAGGTATTTATGATAAAGTAAAGATATAAACTAATTTAAAAACATTAAATTTTATAAATTTAACGAAATATTGCTAAAACTTGAAGGAATAAGTATGAGGAAATTTTAGTCTTTTATGAAAATATAACATTAATTTTTCGGAATGATTTTAAACAATTAAAAGTGGTAATTTTTTATTAAAAAAACATTACTTCAATAACAAAAGTGTTATATTTTTATTTTGTGGGAACATTTTATTAAAGTTTAAGGTCAAATACTATGGAATGTCTTCAAATTTAAAGAGATAAAAATTAACATTCGCTCACAAATTGACTAAAGAGAAATTTCACATGATAGGAATTAAACATAGGATCTCTAGTTAAATAGACTGACTCTGTACATCTCCATAAAATAGAATCTTATATTACTTTGTCAACTCTTAAAGTTAGAAATTATTATTTTGTATATTTAAAATTGATCTTAAAAATTAATGTTATAAAATCATCTTTTATTTAAGAAATGATTTGATATTTTGACTTACTGGTTTTTGAATTAAAAAGTTTAAATGAAAAAAGTAGTGGAAGAAATAAATTATTACGGTTAAAATATGGAAGAGTTAAATTCACATAAAAATTATACATAAACTGTAATAATGAAATTAAAATATCATTAAACACAATTTTAAGCAACTTTTACAAAAGGAAAAAAATAAATTAAGCAGCTGCACTTTTAGTTTTTATTAAATATTTTATTTTAAACTAAATCTCTCAACCTCGTTTTGGTCAGTTTGTTTAGTGTGAAATAAACAAAAGCTTGTACTATTATATGTTTAACTTTAATTTATAATGACAAAATTTACCTTATTTTTCACTTTTTCTACGTAGCATTTATATAATATGAAAATATTTACTTCTGTCAATTATTATCATTATTTCAATATGCCAAGATGGTGCTAATCTAAATTTTAGGTGTAAAAAGTAAGTACCCATGTAGACTTTATTTCTTGTCTAAGAGTTAGTTTATTGAGATATTTAGATGAAGACCAATTGGGCCATCGTTTAAATTTTCCGGGGGCAGGCTTTCCACTAGGCCTTCAGAATCTTAGGCATTATTTTTTTTTTATAGTAAACGGGGCCAAAGGCCCATTTAGGCATTACTTTAATGATACTAAAATTACGTATCAATATTAGGACTTATCATATATTAGCTTCAACTGATTTTAAGAAGAAAAAAAACTTTACTCAACCTTATGATTATTATTATTTTTCATTCAATTGTCCTAATTTTAAATTAAATCGGACTTAATTCAAAGAGCTAAAAAGAACTTTTGTAATATTATATCCCGTTTTATTAGGTCATCAATAATTTGTTTGCTCTTACTGTAATTTATTCTGTAAGTGTATTAAAAATATATATTTTCTCACCCTTTTTCTATCCATTCTTACTAAAACTTGTTATTCAATATAAAATATTTACAGTAAAACAAAGTAAAAACAAGGGATAGAAATTTCAAATAAAAGAAAACATAATTTTTTTCTAAAACAATAAGACATAATTTAGACAACAAAGTCGTGAAAAATAATTTGGCCTAATAATTTTATAATCATCAATATATAAAAGAGTGATATGGTAATTTTATAAAAAAAATAATATGTATAATTTGAATTAAATCAAATAATTTTTAAAATTAAATTTGATATAATAATATAGTAGAGAAATTAAAATTTTAATCATTTTTTAATTCGATTTTCAGCTTTTCAATTAAGTTTGTACGATTTCTATTACATTAGACTAATTACGAAGGCCTCTAATTAGTAATTACTGTAATATTTGAGGACAAAAAAGTAGGATATTGTTGGGTTATATGAATAATTATTTAATTGAAAAAAGACAATACCCACTGTCAGTAGACTATGGATAGCTTTTAAAAGCCCAATGAAGAGTCGATAGTGTTAAGATAACAGCAGGCCTTGTAACGTAGTGCGGCAAAAGCGGGATTTGCTGATCCCGACATTCAGATTGCCCTGTTCGGCCTTTTTTTTTTTCTTTTTTCTCTACAAACTTTCCAACTATTAAATAAATGATTTTTTTAACTTATATTAGGGATATATAATAAAATATAATAAATTTAATGTGTTAATAATATTAAATATTATAATTTTTAATAAACATGTATTTTTTTTCTTAATATGTGTTATTAAATTTATATGTTAAAAAATTGTAAATAAAAAATATTAAATATATTTTGTGCTTTCAAGATAATAAATAATGAAACTTTTATTTAATACATGTTTTATAAAATATTTGAAAGATAAGCTAGAAGATATACCTACTTGTGAAATTAATATACACTTGAGCCAAAGCAAAAGTAGAGCCAACAAATAAAATACCGCAAAAGATATTTAAATGCCATTCAATAATTTAAAAAAAACGGAAGGAAATTTTAAAAAGAAATGTAATTTTTAAAAAATTAATAATTACATATTTTTTATTATAATAATTTAATAATTAATATATTAAATTTATATTTATTTATTATTTTGATTTAATTTTAGAATTTTTTCATAAAATTTGAGATAAATTAACTTGATAAAAAAGTAAAAAAAAAAAAATTATACAAGAGTGAAAGAAATGCATTGTGACTATTAAATCTTATTATGAATAATTAAAATTAAAATATAAAATTTATGTAATTTGTTTAAAAATAATTATATAATTTTTTGAATCTTATAGTCACAACCATCTATGATTAGTTATATAATCCAAATTTATGTCTTTATTTTCTTATAAAAAACGTTACTCTCACCAGATACATCTTTGATCTCAATATAAAATAAATAAATAAATATATATATATATAATATTGAGATCATTAAAAAAAAAAAAAACGAAGTCTCAAAAGTAAACTAATAGAGAATGAGTTTAGTTTGTTCGATTTAATTTCTAAGTAATTTTGGTTCATATATCATATTATTTTAATTAATTTTGTCAACTTCACTTTAAATTAAATATAAACATGTGAAAATAAGAAGTTTTTTATTTAAAAAATATATTTATTATATTAAAATTAAAAGTGAAATAAATATTTATATTTTTAATAAAACTTCAGAATTATGATCTCATAAATATTATGGAGCGTTGAATTTGGCGTCATTATATTTATAATCGACTTTTAATTCAAAATAAATAATAAAGATACTTTTAACACGAAAATAAAAGCATATTAAATGGCAATAATTGTTTAAACCTTTTAGAAAAATAAATTCCTAACATTATAGAAGCAGGTCCTTGGTGTATATTCAACTAATTAAGGAGCAAGGAGTCCCAAAAGCAAACATTAGGATAAATATATAACCCATTGAGATTGAAATGAGCTTTGTCTTGTACGAATTCATATTAGAACTCCACTTTTGCCACCTCAACTCAAGAACCCCACGCCCATGTCCAAACGTCCAACCATCCCCATTGATTAACAATAACGTACAAAGTCATTTAAATCGCCCAACACTGTTTTGTGTTAAAAAATTACTTTAACAATTCAACTAATTAATAATCTGTAAACTTTTCATCTATTCCCTCAGTTCGAACATACATAACCGGTACATGCCCAACAGATCATGGACACATTAAGAAGAAGAAGAAGAAAAAGAAAAATCTAAGCAGTTGTCAGTTTTTTCATTCTTAGAAAACCCATTTGAATTAAAAGAAAAAAAAAAAGATTGAGAACCAAAAAAGGTTGAATTAGTCAGAATTCTTACAGGCACATATCAACAAAGAGAACCCAATTCTGTCCTGTTCCTTGTGATTCTGCAAAGTTTTCTCCTCCAACCATAGCCTACTATCTAAGCCACTCCTTGTTCTGAACATGAACACTGCAGAAGCAGAATTTGGATTGAAAAGCCAATCATGAACGTCCCACATCATATCCACAACCAAACCATCAACAAAAATTGTTTGGTTCCCACGAAAATTCCACCGCAACCTCTTAACCTGGAACATCGTTTTCTTGTCCACACACACAGACAAAACATGACTCTTTGACCCTTCTTCTTCCGCACCACACTTTATCACTATGTCATGTGCAATCCCATTCTCAGAAAATTTTGCCTTCGTTGCATAAACAGCAGTGCCAGAAAATCTCTCACTCCTTGAAACCATTGAGAATTTCGCTTCCTTCACGTCCAAGTTCAACGATTGATCTTCACTTTCGGTTCTATCACCGAGGCGCAGGCCTAATTCAGAATCCACCAAAACGACGACGTAAAACCCACCAACTGGTTCTGGGCCTTCCTCGTATCTCGCATCAGAGAGATCCCACAGGACTTGGATTTCAAAGTTGTGGGATTTGAACGTTTGGTTGCCTTTGATCTTTCTCATCAATTGCCTTGCATTGAATTTAGAAGGGGAATGTCCGGAATTTGTGATGGTTATGGTGAAGCCTTGACCCATGAGTTTCTTGGTCCATGTTAGTGTGATGAAGAGTACTCGTTGTAGCGTTGAGATCAAGTTGACTTTGTACATGCATGTGACTGAATCTCTGGAAGAATGGTTCAACTTTGGACAGAGAAAAGCCTGGTTTGAAGGCCTTGAACAATATGAATCAGACACTCTAATGGCATGTTCGTTGTAACAAGATGCTATACCTCTCATTATATAAAGGGTTCTCTCTTCACCAATAAACCGACATGAAAATGAAAAGGATTAGAACAATTTTGTGATACGTGATCGGCAGTTACTGTTGTGCTTGGATTTGATGATGGAAGAAAGAGTTAGCTAGCTAGCTCCGTGTGAGAGAGAGACAGAGAGATGAAGGTGACAAAAAGACAAGGGCACTTCCCCTTTCTGGGATTTTCCATGTGTGAAGTGTCCTTTCTGTTCTCTGGCATACCTGTGGAGAGGAACATAAGTAAAGACAAGATATAATGGAAGAAAACGAAATGCATGCCACTCGGTTCTACATTGAATAACTTTTTTCATTAATTCTAACCTTCAAATTAATTAATTGAAAATTACTTGCGGATCAAAACTCTAAACAAATCACTAAAGACCGTGTCTTAAATATGGCACACGCTTCTCTTGCCACCACTCAATGTAATTAAACTATAATTTATTATAGTTTGACCCTATTTGTATATGTAATTTTGTAACAATAATTTTGTCAAGTTAAACTATGGATTTGATGGCAAATATATTATAAAGTCGTGAGGCATTGAATGGTATGCAATTTTAGGCTAGTGGGTTTGTGGGAAAAGCAAGATGTTGTTGTAGGGGGAAGGAGGGTATTTTTCATTTGCTTGATACCTGGTTGTGTGTTGACATGTGGGTTGGGATGAGTATGACAGAAACAGTAACAAGATAACGAGGCTGACGGGGAAATGGTGACGAAAATGCAAGGATGAGAGTGATAGTTGGACCCACGAATTAAAGCCAGGCTTGGGATTCACCTACTTGGACTCGAGACAAATATCATTTAAGTTTCGCTTTAACCTTGTTTTTTAGTTTTCGTGTTTCTTATTGCTATAAGTTACACAAACTTATCCTTTCCGTTTATAAAAATAGAGACAAAGGAAACCGTGGTTGGATACCCAAATTAAACTTTTCACATCCTCGTTTTCATAGTGCTAATTAAAAAGGATCTTTTCAGTTACGTGGGAAGCACAAATTCAACTTGTTAGCTAAGGGAACTTTAAAGGTCTAATTTAAGTAAACGTGCTTTCAGTTTTCTTTCGCTAGTTCTTTCCATCAACCAAGTTTTCAGTTTAAGTTCTCCAGTTACGTTGTGGATGAATAGGCAATTTAGTGGTGTGTTGGATAAAAATAAAAAGTCGCTTAGGATTGGAGTTTGATAATATATTTCATGTCAATGGACCAAATGAAAATGAAAAGAAATTTAATGTCTCGGGATGCATCTGATTGCAACCACCATTGACAGCCTATAAAGAGAAAGCGAACAGTAAACAAATCCAATTCAAAACCATGATGGATAGATAAATATATTATATCAATCATTTTTATCAACCGTTTTAACATCTTAAGTATCATTTTTTATTAAAATAGTATTTATTATGTTAGAGATACAAAAGTATAATAAATACTCTTCTTAATAAAAACTTACTGTTTCTTAATGTTTAAATTGGATTATAAAAATTAAATAACAAAACCAAAACTAAATTAGCAAACACAACACAACATTAGAGCGAGCCTGCAACTTGTTTGTTAATTAACACGATTCAAAGGGAGATTTAGGAACTTCACATGGCTCTAAATTGATGACACAGATTAATTAGTAAAAACACGATATTGATGACATAAAGAAAAGATGGTGGGAGAAAAGAAGGACCCCACGGGGAACATAGAGAAAAAGAAATTATTCACTCGGTGCTATATACAGATAATTTACTTATTTAAAGTAACAGTAGTAATTTTAGGTGACTTAGCTTCGTGGCCACGAAAAGTTACATGAACTCCCATTGATTTGAGTCACACATGAACGCGATTATGCAGCCCTAGTTGTTTACTGAGAAATTGAACTGACCATAATAATTTTTGTTACTTTTGTTGGCAGGGAAATCATTCAGATTTCAGACAACCAATTGAAAGATGAAACATCTCACATTGGTACACACCCAATATCATCCTTATTGCTGAGGGAACCACACAAAGTCACAAATGAAAGGTGCCGTTGGTTTTGTATTTATTTATTAATTTTACATGAGAATGTGTCGCATAGGCTAAATAAAAAATCACTGTTCTCCCGGCCCAGCAAAGAATTATTCTAGACAACATCTTGCAACATTATAAGGGAAGTTACTTAATTGTTCCCATTTAGTGGATACATACATTATATCATACATCACAATATAGTACCCAATAGAGAAAAACACAGTACAAGAGGAAAATGATGATTGAGGAATGAGAATTTGCATTAATAAAGAGTAACCTACTCTGCCTTGTCAGTTAAACTCAAAAAGACATGCTAGCTGGTAGCGTTAAATTTGGAGCATCAACACCAAATATCCACTATAGGTAATAAAAGGCGGCTAGTAAGAGTGAGGTGTTTATTATACTTCTAAGTTGATTCGGAAAGGGATTGTACGTGAACATGCCTGCAGAAGCATAATGATCACTATATATCTCATTTTGAGCTTAATACAGTGGTTACAACTTCCAAACTAACAACAATGCAAGTACATTTCATAAAGTATACGCAGGAGGGGCAACCCCACTAACATAGTTCATGGCAAGTGGGGACCATAAATGAAAATAGGAACAAAGTTATAAAATATAACAATGTATGGTGAAAAATGATAATACTTTAATTGAACTCTTCTGGGTCAGCCCCCTGGAAATCCACGCGCATTTAAATTCCCCACCACAACCCTTTGCAGTTATTTTATTTTATAATTATTTATACAATATTAATTTTGTTAACTTTAATTTTTTTTAAGACTCGTATTATAAATCTTTATAAATATAGTGAATTTTTTAATAAATTTTTTTGTCACTTTTAATTATTTAACTCAGAATTGAAGTTAACAATTTCTAGATATTATATATTAACCTATGTAAATTAAGAGTAGCTAAAACAGTAAACAAACTTAAAGCCTATACAGTTGAATGTATTTTTACTTTGTAAGGATTGGAAATCATTGCAAAATGCTTGTGGCAAATATCCGAAAAGATTTTTTTTTTCTAATCTAAATCTCTTCACACATACACGAAGATGCATTTTACCAAATAGTAATATTAATAATTAAGAAGAGATAATATAATATACAACTATATATGCAACACACTGTAAATACACAAACATATAGCAAGACACCAAGACAAGCCTTTTAGTTTTTTTAAGAAAAATGAGTTAGTGATGTGGGGTTAACCTTTTCTTCCTATTATGGTCGTATACATAAATAAAGATGCATTTTGCACCAAATACTAACTTTAATAAGGTGATAAAATACACAAGTGTACAACACAATGTAAAGTATGATTAAGCATGTTGCGCTGGATACAAATGGAAAGAATATTCATTTCTTTATAGTATACTTGCAAGTTTGCTTCCCCCCAATGGAAGAAGGTGATGGGAGAGCATTTATTCTGTAGACAACGTGTAAGTTTTATTGCTTCACGAGATGATATGCGGAGATATGTCTTCAAATAGGAGTAATACCAAACAAAATATACAAGGCACCAAGATTCCACTATTCCAGCAGCCAGCTCAAACCACCCTGCACAGACACACACACAGATAAGTTTTAAATAACAAAAACTACCAGTTTTGAGAGGGAAATTAACCGTTAAAATAAGTCGAAATTTAAGATAACGTATTCATTTGTAAGAAATTATGATAATAGGTACGACTATCATTATATATATTAGTTAATATATTAAATTTAAAATAAAGATAAGACTATACTTATAAAGTAATATTATTTTTGTTATTTTTTATTTGTTGCTTATGAAAAAAATTGTCTCTGTTTATTTGTTATTTTAAAGTATAAAAAAAGCATGACTGATAAATTTTTTAATTAGGCCCTAAGATGTGAAATGTAAAAAATAACATACTAAGAAATTACAAATAATTTTAAATAAGTTGAAAGTATGGGTATTACTTGGTCTGCCTCTTCCCTATGTATACTGTTTGCCATATTAGAATAAAGTGAAAAATACATTATACGCAAACAATAATTTAAACTTGCTCATCAATGACAAATTTTGGAGACTGATAGTACAGTACTTTCAAGTTTATAAATCGATTATTTCACTAGTTTATTGATATTAAAAGTTTACATTATATGGCGTTATTACGTTGAAAGTAAATTTAGTTGAAATTGTTTTGTTTGTTATACGTTTTATAAATTATATATATATATATATATAATTAATAAGTAGGAAAGAAAATATTGTGTATTCCAGGAAAGAGATTTTGATAAAGTGACGGGTCATTGTTTTAGTTAGAATTAAAAAGAAATAGCAAATGATAATTTCAACCCAACTAACATAGGTTGTATAATAGTGACTGTTGTTATGTTAATTAATACGAATTCATGTTGGGTTCACACCAATCCATTTAATATATATTTAATAAGTTACCAGAACCAATTACCGATCAATTTATCAGTTTACTAGTTCAATTGACTAGTTTTGTCCCGTTCTAAATTAACTATGGTTAAAAATTTTATTTGGCTGTAATTGCCTAAAGATGACGAAAACACACGCCATATCATTTGTTTTGTTTTTTTCCAAAGATTTATTCAATCAGATAAATAGCACTTCTTTTAGCCTTAAAAGAAACGGAGCTACTTATATCGAAGATCTCTCTAATTTGTGCGAGAACAAGACATTGAGCTACGTTTTTGTTTAAGCAAATTTAAATCACAATGGTTCTACTCTGAATGTGCGGTGGAGGACTAGTTCTATGAAATCCACAAAATGAGAAGAGTGTGGTAATGGGAAGACCAGATTTAACATTAAGCTTATAAAAAAAATGAATTTTAATCTGTAAAAGGTATAGGATCATTTTTAAAAGTAATTGGTAAATAACTTACAAAATATTATTTTTAAAACATAATTCGCTCTCAATAATTAAAGTCTAAAAAATTATAATTTTATTTTAAAATTTAACTTTCAAATCACTTAAATATACATTTAAAAGATTAATTTTAAAATAATAATAATGAACACTGCAATTAGAAATATAAATGGCACAAAAAGTAAGGTCCGGTTTTACAATAGACGAAATGGTCCACAAGGCCCATTCTACTGATTGTCCAGTGGGACAAATAGCCCAACTTATCCAGCCAGCGATAGTTTGGTTTTTGTTTAACACATATGCGCAAGCCCAAAACCTGAGATAAATCATAATATTACTTTCTTGATTATATGCACTAGTTAAGGAAGGGAACATTTGAACTTGATTTTACACCGTTGATTGAGTCGTCATAGCTAAGAGTGCAACATAATTATAAAGTTTTAATAAAATGATATTATATACAAGTCCAATTACAAAACATTGTTTTTTTAATGGTCAAAAGTAAGTGCTTGAAAGAATGACTAATTTGCAATCAATGGGGGGAAGAAATTATAAAGTTTTAAACTAACAAATGCACTGTGAGTTATAGTGAAATGGGGTTGGATGCAAATAGCAATATAAAAAACGCAAGGCGACAGTGAAATTAGAGAAGAAATAATATAGTTAAAGTTGAGTCTCTGATGTTGATTGAATTGAGGATGCTCAAAATATTAATAGTGTAGCGATCTTTGGTTTCCTTTTCATTCAGCTCTCCAAACAGCCACTGGCTTCTCGAGCAACTCCAACAGGGGAGGAGAGTGGGAAGGTGAATGAATGTGCAGTGCAATACACAAAAACAAAGATTAGATTAGATGGGCCCCACCCCCACTACCTCAAAACATCAATGTCAACTATGTGCATGCGTCACCCCTTCCGTCATTCTCTATTCCTTTGTGCACATTTCGATCGATCTAAAACTAGCAGACCCCAGATTCTTATACGGGCCGGGCGAGGCCCAATCCTCCTCATTCGCCGTCCCTCTCCTCCTTTTCCACCTCATCACCCATAACCCAACCCCAACAACCATAACCACAACCATAACCATAACCATAACCATAACCGCAACCACAACCCCGACCCGAACCCGATTCCTTCCCCGTTCCCCTTTCCTAACCTTAAAATAACCCACCTTTGACTCATCCCCGGTACCCAACATGGTCTGGATCGGATTGTCCAAAACATAACAAAACCCGGTGTCGTTGCTATACAACGCTCCCCAACAGCTACAATTTTTCTGGCACAAACCCTCGCATTCCGCCAGGGACGACGTCGTCACGTGCCCCAGTAGCTCCTTATGCGGTGGCTCCACCCCACTCTTCCTCAGTTCCCAGTAACCACTTCCACCAATCCCTTCTTCTCCACACAAGTCTCCCCCAACATCACCTCTATCCAAACACCCACCAGCTTCAAAACGGGTTCGGTTTTCCAAACAAGAACATCCAGACCCGCCCGGCGTGCACAAACCGTACGAACCGCAGGGATTGGGCAAACCGCAGGTTTCAGTAATAGCCTGGTAGTTAAGCAGCCAGTTAGAACCGTCCCAATAATAACCTTTCAGATTTCCGTCCGGTTCCACCCGGACGAACAAAAACGACGACGTTGTTTGGAAGCTGTTAAATTTCTGAACATCGACGGGTGCGTTACTCGTTTGGTACATCCCGAGAAAACCCTCCGGGTTGACTCGGGCGTAAATCGGTCCCTGCCCTTCTTCTATTTCAGCTTTTGCTTCAAGTGCCGTGTGTTTCCAATACATTAACCGCTCCTCGCCTTGGTTTTCGTACAATCCCATGAAATTGTTTCCTAGCTGTAAAGAGTAGAAACGGTTGGGAGACACCAAAGACATTTTAGCGGTGAAGTTCTGGCTCTGAACGAGGGTATTTGTGGGAAAATGAAAACTTTCCCAGATGGGAGTGCCTTTGTCGTGGACCTGCAAGTTGGAGGTGTCCAGGAGCACCACGCTGTCACCGTTTGTGGCGGTTGACCACGAAACACGCGTTTTGGGGTCCGACAAAACGAGACTCCCGTTGAAGAAGAGGCGCGTGGTGTCGGACCAGGATGCCACGTGAGTTAAGTTGGCCGTCCAGAATGGCTCTGAGGATGCCACGTGGATGACAGTTAGTGCCAGCTGGTTCAGGTTCGTGCGGAGGAACCCCAGAGAGAAGTTTCCGCTGGGGTCGCTAAGAACTGGTTGAAACGACGACGTTGAAGATTGTGGAGTTGCCGAGAAGCCTATGTGAAGCTCTTGTGGAATGGAAGTGGTTGCAATCGCAAAGCATGTCAACGTAGATGCTAGGGACAGAGCGAGGACTGCGAACATGTTCAACATCGCAATTCTTACGGCATAAACGAAGCAAGTTGATGAACATGAATGTGGACACAGTGAGATTTATAAGGTTGAAGCTGTATATAAAATAAAATAATTAAAGATATTCTAGAAGGGGAAATACAACAGGCGCGGAGTTGGTATATTTTTGGACTTTTTAGTTGTTGAAGATTGTGTTTAATGATCGGAATAGAGGGTTAATTAAGAATAAAAAAAAGAGAACGGATCACCGGCCATACCACAATTAGGTAAATAAATACAAAATTCATTCATCCTGCGATTAATAATTTTCAGTCTTAAGAATTTGTAATGCCTTTGACACGAACTCACCGAGTTTTTTCTTCTTACACATTCCTGTTTAACGTTTTGAATCTCAGTAATTATCAAATATCAGAGTTAAACAGGCTTTGATCTCCCCTAGTTTAACTACGACTGTACGTATAGAATAGTGCATATTGATATTATTTTCTAACTTTAACCCGTTTGGTGGCAGCAATTCGAAAACAGTTAGAACCTAATGGATAATATTATATATCGTATAGGGCACCGATTGAAATGTTCACGTGAAATGAGGAAATGTTTAAATGGATTTTTAGAACTTGGAACATTAAGAAAAGAAAAATGGATCCATCAGGATCGAGGTGTGTCGGAATCTTTGACCAGCTTCCTAGCTAGCTAAGCTCATTTTGAGAAAAATAATAAACAACTTTTACTTCTTTCTACACAATGTTTTTAAATTAAGCTATTGTTTAATTTGATAAAAGTACTAATTTATAATACATTAATTTGACCATAGTTGAATAACAAGGGAATAAAAATAAATAAATAACAATTAATATAGTATATTTGCATCGAAATTTTAATTAAACAGATTAAATTTTTACGGTGTACATGAAAAAAATGAAAAGGCATTATTTGCTTTTTGCCAAGGTGTATCAAATCACTTGGTGTTTATTGGGATGTTTTTAACTTTATTTGATGAGTTTTTATAAAATCATCATCTCGTCAAGCAATTTGATAAATGCTCAGTTTTTAGATTTTGGACAGTTCTCTCTCACTTAGAAAACTTTAATTTAGAGCTCTTACAGGTCAAATCAATATAGGTATATTATCAATCACATATACACACCTTCTAACTTAACTTTGTCGCATAATTACTATAGAGATATGGTACAATTCGAGTATATTGAAATCAAAATTCAAACGATTTCATTAACTAGAGACTTAAAAACATCCATTAAAGCATTAATAAATAACATTTAGAATTATGTTATAATATAATAAATGATAATATATTAGTAATAATTTTAAATTTCTTAATCAGATATACTGAGCCCACTTCAAAATCAAGTATTATTGACGTGTGTAAAAAGTCAGAAGAATTGGTGAAGCTCTTTAATTCCATCAACCCCTTCCTACTGAAAACGTTCCAACAGCGGCTAGATTGGCGCACTTGAATGTTGTGTTTTATTCCCACCCATTCATCTTCACGTGCTTGAGAAGATAACCCAAAAATGTTATTCTTCGAATAACTTTGCTTCGTTATATTCAATGTATTGCCATTTATAGCCACTTGAGGATCCAACTATATGTGCATAGGTAAGACGAAAGGGTTGACAATCAACATGCCTTATCACAAGTTGCTAACTGCAAAAAGTCCTAAAATAAAATTAATGACTAGCTCATGGATTTTTATTATTTTGAATAGAAAGTGAAGTCACTTGTCAAAAAGTGAACGCATGGTAGTTGACTCAAGTGTGGGTCAACATTTTGTAAAATTGATTTCATTTAAAAGTATATATAAAGTGATATAACTTATACTTATTTTTTAAAAAATAATTTTGCAATAAAATTTAATACAGTTTTTAAATTCAATATAAAGATGACAACTTGTCACGTTTGCTCAAATATAATTTTGAAGGCAAAATTAATTTGGGTCAAAAGTAATTAAATATCAATAAAAATAACGTTTAATATAACTTTTAATTTATTTTAATACATTTTGTATTAAAATTAATATCAAATTTTAATATGATAATATTTTTTAATTACATACTTAGTTAAATCATTTATCCAAACGTATCTTTAGCTTGAAAAAATGAAGGAACACATAGGTCTATCTTATCTTAAAATTTTAACTTTTATTTAGGAATTTAGCTCTCATTTAAAAAGATGTAAACCAAAGCAAATGATAGGTCTATTTTATAGCTACCTTGAGCAAGAGAATCTTTCAATTATCTAATCTTTTTTATATAATAGAAAATTACACAATTATCACTAAAAATTAGAGGAGATTTTTTTGGTTGTTCCTGTTTTTATGTTTAAAAAACATTTTCTTTTTTATAATTCTAAAAATTAATATCCTTTTACAATAGGTTTTAATTCATGAAATTAAATTATAATGAGTAATATATTAACTCAACCCTTACAATTATAAATATAGTTTTAGTAAAATGTTCCAAAGCAAATTTAATCTTAAACTGTTATGACTATCAATCAATTTAATTCTTAAATTTGACACCGTTAATTTATTTGGTTCCTAACTTTATGAAATTGGTCAATTTAATTTCAAAACTTGAGAATCATCAATCAACTTAGTCCCTAACTCAGAGACTAAATTAACTTATATATAGTAAAATCATAAACTAAATTGATTTATGTAGAGCCAAATTAAGGATTAAACCAACGAATAAAGGCCAAAGTTTGGATCATATTAATGGACCTTTGACATTAAGGATTAAAATTGCTTATTTTAAGGATTAACTTTTGCGAGCTGAAATCATAATAGGCATATTATATATGTTGGAAACAGATTTAATTAACAGAATTACAGTACGAATACACACTGAAGGTGTGTCCTGAGAAAGAATGAGCTCTTATAAATGGAAGCACCAACTTGATCCCCTCAAAACAATCATATCAACATCTTCCATCTCTTTTACCCTCTATCTTGTACGAAGACTAGTAAATTTCTTTCTTTAAATATAAAGCTACCAGAGTAAACATCTTTCTGTCATAAATCATATTTAATTATTAATATATTATCCAGAGTCACCACCAAACAATAAATTATGATAACAAATTTTGAAATTAACCATCGGAAAACAGGGTGAAAAGATAATGGGATTGTAAAAAAGAGGATAATAATAAAGAACAGGGGATGAACTTGCTTATAAATGAGATACCCATTTAAATATTTGATCTTATCCTAAATGTAGGGGAAAATGATTAAAAAATATTAACAGGGAGACAGGATGGTTGACCAGATATCTGTCAATTAGTTGCACAATACACTGTCAATTAGTTATACAACACCTTTCGGAGTAGCGTTACTCTTTCAATTAAGACTAACTGCTGACATAACTAGGTAATAGAGGAGACAGTCCCGCATTTACCTAGCAGAATTAGGATGAAATTTGTCTGTACGTTAAACAAAAGTTTGGAGCACCCAACAAGGGGAATACACCTCTCACCCAAAAAACGACAACCGAAAAATAAGTCAACAATTACCTAGAAACAGTACAAAGAGCCAATACTGTCTATGAAGCTGAGAAAATCACGAAAGCAATGCCCGGGAAAATTTAACAGCGGAAAATTGAGTAGGAAATCAAAATCGTTGTTATTTTACTGACACAGATAACGTTATCAGACATTCGGATGAACATGGCCTTGGTTCTTTCCCAGTATTATCGCCAGATACGTTAAATGTGCAAAATCCGCTTCACCATAGGGAAATAAAGCTAACACAATCACATCAACGACCAAGTTTAGCTGCAAAAAACTATCTCGCATTTATATATTTTGAACAATAGATAATTTTTTTCCCGAGTACAAGAAAAATAAACAAAAAAGAGCACAAAATTTAGTATGCAAAGTGAACCTCGGTAGTGGGTACCCTTGGTAAGCTTCTGACTACGCAATAGCTCCAATGCTGTAGAAGCAAACCATTAATCATTATCCTGCAAAAAATAGAACAGGTCTTTCAACATTAAACCAGAAAACATGAACTAACATTAGATAATAAGCCGTACCGTATTGGTGGCACTTGATATTGAGTTCTCTGATAAGCATCTGGCATGAATGATGGGACCCATATTTCTACTTTCCATCTCACTATTGCTATCTAAGTAATTCATGTAAACTGCCCCTTTGAACATCCACTCGTCCTTTTCCTCACAATACACATCCTCAAATAGCTCGCCACACAATACACACAAGCACTGGTTTTCATCTGCTAGAACCAAAGTATCCAATTGACTGCTGTCTGATTTTTTGTCACGTACATCAACAGAGTCACTAAACTCTAACTCCGATGTATATTCTGAAATGCCAGCAATCCAGTCACTTGACTTTGGATACCATCTTCTTGATGCCCTGATTAGACCATTTTGTTCTTTTTCTCTTGTGGCATGCCACTCTAAGTGTCTATTATACTGTTCTTCTTGTTTAAGCCTAATACCACATATTCTGCAATGATGTGGGAGATCATCAAATAATTCTTTAATTACAGGAGGTTGGAATTCTCGAATTATGTCAGGTCTAAATTCAAAGCCAATGAGATTTCTGATTTCAGTGCTAGTTGATTGAGGCAAGGCAACAGCAGTTTTTGTAGCAGCATCTACTACATCTCTGGAAGATGTTACTGGGACAGCTGCCGAACCAGAAACTGATGTAACTGGCAAAGAGCAACTGGTGGTAATGATTTCAGTTTGATCTTTGGATCCCATTGGCACCTCGTTTGGTACCATATTTGGTGATTCTGATTCGGCAGATATCAAACCCTTTGCAACTAACGAGCTTAAAAGGTTTGCAATTGGATTTACGGTACTACTATTGGCAGCATTTAAGCTCAGACCTGAGGAACTGCTCGTGTTAGAGGAAGCAGGTGGTTGAGAGGAAATCCTTTGTGGTTGTCCAGCCTTTCCTTGAAGTATTTTTGGGAGTGTAGATGAATCATTATTCAGAGGACCTAATGAAGATGGTGATGCAACCACAGGCCGTGAAGAAATTAATGAGGTAGGGGAAGGCCTACCAGACCGAGTAGGCTGAATCCCAGATTGAGATGGAAGATTCCTTGCATCCAGATTACTTGACGTAGGAAGATTACTGGCAGTAGACTTGTTGGGAATGATTCCACTCTTGATAGCTACAGCCGAAAAATTATTTGTGGACTGTTCTGAAGTTTCTCTGACTAAAGAAACTTTAGTCTGGGGTGGCTTCTTAGTTTTAGAGGTAATTTCAGTCTGAGAAGGGGGCAGCTGCTGTTGCTGAAGCTTTGGTCGAAAAGAAGTTACAGAAGATAATGGACCCTGCATGTCCTTTTCCTGGGATCTTCGCACATGACCAACCTGAACATTGGGACGGCTGGTAGGTGAGGGATCTCTACTATGTTGACTTCTAAGACCTCCCAAAAATTGAGATGGTTTAAGATTCTGGGGAATTTCTTGCTCAGCCAAATTTTGCATTGGAGGGTGGTGTACTGTTACTGGCAGTGTTGGAGACTGTTGTCGCAAAGGTGACTGCCCAGAAGGGGATTCGGTTCCCCCAGAATCAAATTGTTGTCCAACAACTTTGGCCATTCCTGCTGTTGCATTTGGCGTAAACGATCGATTCCCCATCCTGACAGCCAAAGAACTTGTATTGCCTGGTAAGCCACTAAGACTGGACACAAATCCTTCTGAGTGACCTGACTTTAGATTCAACTTATCAATTGAATGCTGCTTCTGCAATTGCCATGATGATGGTGGATGGCCCCCAGAACCAGGTAGTTGTTTCTTAACGGTGGATAATTCTCTATCAACCTTTGCCCCAAAAGGGCGTGCAATTTGGAGGTGATCTTCACCTTCCTGCATGCAGAAAAAATAAATCAGTCAACCAATACAATATATATGTAGTTTTAAAAAATGCAGAATGAGCCAATGAAGTTTAAGATCATTGCATTGATTTATGATGCAACTGTAATTTGGGTTTGAAATTAGGAATTTAGAGGTTAAATTATTAGTAATTTTGGAAATTAGGGTTGAATGTTTGGTTCAGGAATAACTTATGCCAAATTAAATTAGGGTTCTATTTATTAGTTTGTATTAAAATGAATTTAAGTTTGGACTGCTTGCTTTGATAAGTTAGTGTTTATTTAATAAAAAAATTAGGCATATTAATTATCTGTGGGAATTCAGCCCTATAGAACTAACCATCATAGAAACGTTTTTGTTTCTAAACAATGTTCCTTGGTCCCAACTCTATTCTACATCAATATGATACAAAAGTTAAATGTTAGGGCTAATTGCATATCATCATGCTATTTTATTACTTTTATTGCACTTTCCACCAAACAAATTGCCCTGTCCTTAAATATGGTTTTCTGCAATGTTCCTCATCTTTCAAGATAGGAATTGATTCTCATAATTATAAGAAACTTACATACAAATGACTTTTAAGGTGAAAAACAAGGACTCTACATAATGTTCTAATTGTGAAAAAAGTAACAACTGCATATCTCTAGTGGAGCCGTCTAATCAAATTTAGGCACGTATCAAGATATTATCATTTTGTCAAAAAAATACTTGTGGAACAGGTGCTTTTCAAATTAGCATGAGTTAACTACTTATTTGGTGGACATAGGAAACCATTCCAAAGAAAATAATGTTAAATCAAAGAGGAATGTACTTCATTATATAAATTCAGAGAATACAGCAATTGGGTGAACAAAATTGGGTGGCAAAGTGCAATAGACCCTTGATTTTAGCAAACTTACCGAATTTTCATCATCAACCATCCACGTGTCTGTGCTCAAGTTGCCAGAAACATTGGGTCCATGATCAATCAAACCAGAGTTCATCTCATCCCACATGAACTCCTCTTCCTCAGAATTCTTCCAGTTACTTGACATGACATTGCTTCTTATGTTAGTTAGGTTCTGTGTTTGCTGACGATGTGCATCCAAATTCATCGACTTTGGTGCTTCATGATTTGAAAAACCAGGCTGGAGACTGAAAGCATTTTTTTGCCCAGATATGTTCTCTGCAACACCACTACCTGTTTTGAACCAAGTTTTGTCATGCCCTAAATCAATGAGTCTACTTCCAGTTCTTCCAACCCCTGAGACCAAATTACTTGAAATGCCAGAACTATATTCACTGCTTCCATATGACCCACTGATACTCTTTTCAGGAAGAGAATCATTAAATGCATCTCTATGAGTATGCTGATTATTCTGCAATATACACCACTGCATTAAAATACAACAACTGATAGAGTGAACAGTATAAAGAGGAAATGGAAGGTTACGTCACATACATGCATGTTAATCCTAGGATCCAGCCATGGTCTTGCAGCAACCAAAGCTCTATCTGGCCTCTCTGAATCCTCATTTGGGTTTAAAATAGCTCCAGTCATATCATTAACTACTCCTTTACTCTTCATGACATAAAAGAGGACATGACAAAAGAAATAAGAACCAGAGAAATGATATAAAAGAGGCACATGTCAGTATCTCATGCAACAAAACAGGATATATACTGCTGTAATTTATCACATTTGCAAGGCATGCAATGTCTGGAATACTTTTCAATTTCATGATAAGTATGGTGAATCAAAAGGCTTGTTTTGAATTGTGAACCAGGTGTTAAGATATAGTAACAAAGTGAAAACAGAAATTTAAAATATTTATTTAGAAATAAAATGGAGTATTCAAAATATTACTTTTAATTGAAGTCTAAATGTCTAATATGGTTAATAACCCATATATCACAGCAAACCATAAACAGAACCAGAAATCAGGATTATTTATGATTCAGAATAGAGAAATTAAATTAGTTTACTGGAAAGTTCCAATTCAAATACACTGATTGCAAATTTGCAAGTATACTGTATTGTATCTCAATAAGCAATAATCATAGATCAAAAATTTGAAGCTAATGACATATCTTTCAGTCCTGTTTCATCATCCAATGAACAAGTGATTGTAAATGTCATTTCATCACCAAAATTCTGTAATACCATCCAATCTTGATTGATTCATAGATCCAACATTTTAAATCTTTGAAGGATAAGTTTGGTGCAATCAGTTCACCTACCCTACTTGACTGCTGAAGACGCTGCCTTTCTAAATACTTGGGATTCACATGGATACTGTGAGGAGGGCGTTGAGACTGCAAATCACTCCTGACTGTAGCAGAAACTGAAGCTGAACCGTTGACTGCAGGTGCAAAACCAAGTTCCTTCTCAATCACCTGAAGGGTCTGAGGAGGAAACACTCCTTTCCATGTTCCAAAAAGATGCTTCATACTTGTATGGACAGAAGGATCAACCTGTCTGTAAGCCTTGCAGAATACCTAAAATGTAAAGTAGTAATTGGCAAGTACCTAGTTAAAAGTAGGTGTATAAAATTAGAAAACATATATCGCAAGAATTCCTAAAATGCAAAGGGAAAAAATGTTTCCATTTCATGATCGTTAGATTGTTCATTTTTAAAGGAATGGAAGTATACTTACAAGTTCATAATTCATGTAACCAACTTTTATTGAAATAATTCAGTGTAAAAAATATAACTTCACACTCTCAGGGATTAATTCTAGACAATAATTAGTATATAAGAATTAAGGCATGGAGGAAAATCGTTAGAGAAAATAAATATCTGACCTCAGGTAGTCTGGGAGCAAAATATTTTATATAATCCCGCCCGATATTCTTAACAATACTATCTAAGAGGTAAAGAGATGGCAGCTTTTGATCACTTGGAACCTGGAAAGTCAACAACACATTTCAATTAAACGGGATGTTTTTTCATATAACAAAGACACAAATGAGTGAAATAAGATTATCGAGACAGATATATTTGAGGAAAACGACTGAAATCAACAAACAGACTTTAGCATCAAATTTCACCAAAAGTGGACTTCAGTCCTGATGGAGATTGGAAATTACTAAGTGTTTACTTCTTTCCACATGTCGTACAAAAACATGTTTTCTGAGAAACAACTCCATTTGCATACAAAATGAAGAAAACACCAGCACAATTGTGGAGTACCACTCCCCAATGATGCCGATCATCAGTTACACACGGAATCATTTAGCAAGAAGACAGTGTTTTGCTTTTAGTTTTTTCCTTTCCTTTTTAACCGTCATCGAAAAACAATTTATTTTTTTCGTTCTCTTAAGGCACCGAGCAGAGAGTACAACTTAAGAACCTCAACCACAATCTACATATAAAGGCCAAATGAAATGAGATGAATCTTAGATGCCTTTATTCTAACTAGCATTCCACATAGGTACATAAGTAATCCAATTCAACAACGCATAGCATAACAAACAACACCACTCATCACAAATCAGAAAGATCAAGTCAAACCCTTTTTTATTCCAAATCTCTCACAATTCAATTCAATAAAAGCAACAGAAACAACCACACGTGGTAAACCGAAGTTCACCTCTAGAATGTTTGCACAAACAGTGGCAGCAATTGCCTTAGCAGCAGATAGATTCTCTCCAGCAATGATAGTCAAGTTTGTAATTATCGGCTTCGAATTGAAAGTGAGCTCAGCGAGCGCGGTCTTATACTGAGTCACGAGCTCTTGGTGCGGCGGTGGCTGCGGGTGGTACCCGCCGCCGCGACCCGAATCGCTGCTTTCGGAGTCTCTGTCGTTTGTTCGAAACCTCGTAGACGCCAACGTAGTAACCACCCCAGACCCTGCTTGTCGTTGAGGTAACGGTCGAGCACTACGGTCGAGTTCGTCGATCAATCGAGGCTTCTTAGTGCCCGGTTCTCTCGATCTATCCAACGATCTACGCGTGCTCTCCATGTCCATTCAAATAAATAAATAAAAACAAATCTAAAACCCTAATCCTAACCCTAATGCACTCTCAATTACGTGACGAACTTGCGGGGAACTGGATTTACAGCTAGAAAATAGCATCCCCGATTATTGGTTCTGGCGCGGATTTTATTGGCAGAGAGAGGAGGGAAATGAATTAGAACGAAGCTCCTGATTCAAAATTGTACAGTGCGAATTGAGATAAACCCTAATCCCAATTTGCGTGAATGAATAAAAAAAATAAGAGAGGGGAAGGGTCGACGAAGGTGGAAGGAGCTAGATAGAGTGTCATGAGAAGGCTGCGATTGGGATTATAAAAACGTATGAGTGAGGAGTGAAGCTCGCTTCACACATTCAACTGTGATCTTCATTCAATCTTCAAAATTAAAACGAAGGCTATTCTTTTATATATATAATTCAATTCATTTTAATCAGTATTTTCATTTCTTTTCAACTAAATCCAACCAAATTAATCTAAGATTTAAAATTATTTAGTTTAGTTTTAATGGTTAAATTGAATTAAAAATAAATTATTATACATTTTAAAGATTTAATTCTTACATATTATTTGTTTTTTAAATGTTTTAAATTTACTATATTACCGATTAATGAATTTTCCACACATTATATGTGTCCTGTACAAGTATTGTTAAATAAAATGTTAATGTTGAAGACATTTAGACAGCATTTATTGTTGATGACTAATGAAAAAAAGAGTAACATATCGTTAGTAAACCAATAAACAATACTTCAAGGATTAAATAATAAACATAATAACTTTCAAAAATTAAAACAAACTTAGATTATTTTTCATCTTGTCGTGTTTTTTTTTTTTTCCCTTTCATCAGAGGTATTTAGAGGTGAAAATAAGTTAAATAACTTGTTGATAGCTTATCACATAGTTTATGAGTATAGATAGCAACAATACAGGTTACGAGCAAAATTTCTTATTTTTTGACCCAATTTCTACCCCAAAACCTAACCTGTCTCCATACCAAATAATGAGATGAGACAAGTTTGGGGCTGGATATCAAAACCTCCAAACTCGACTTTAAATGAGAAAAACCCGAACTTAATTTTAATTAAAATGATTCTTTCTTATCAAATTCAGGTTAGAGTTTAGTTGATTTTCACTAATTTAAGTTCTATTGTTATCACTATATATTATAATTTTCATTGATATTATTTTCAATCTTTTTTTTTTTTAGTTTATACACTGACAAATAGCAATTTATATTAAAAAATTACAATACTGATTATATTTTTATGGTTTTAAGATAATAAATATTTTTGTAAAATAAAAACTTATTATTTTTAGCTGTTTATTTTCAACTTTAAATATTAAGTTTAACATTTTCCTTTTTTTAATTAAATTGATTAAGTCAAAACATTTTATGAACATATTTAATTAAGAAGGTTAGCTTCAAGCCATCTAAAATGCTTTTTAAGTGTAATAGGTTGGCTAATTCAAATAAACATAGATATTCTTATTTAAACTTAGGTGAAGATAAGTAATTAAAAATAGTAATTTTTTGTTAACAAATATTTCTTTAAAATATAAAAGTGTTTATACTTTTTAATAAAATTTTATTATTTACAGATTCTTAAACTTAGTTCCAAAGTTTGAGATTAATAAAGTTGTTATTGTTGTTAAATTATATATATATATATATATATATATATATATATATTAAATTTCATAATTTATACATAATTTATTCCACTAGCTTTTTTATAAAAAAAATTGTGTCCAATGACATAGATTAAGAATTTAAAAATAATTTTTATTGAAAATAAAACTATTTATCACTTCAAAATTACTAAAAATATTCATTACATAACTTTTACAATAATTTAAAGTATTTATTAGAATACATTTAATATTTTTTTTAACATGTATCTTTAGATAAAAATTGATTTAAAAATAAGTTTTTAACTTATTTAAAAAACTTTGTCATGAAATAAACTTGAAAATATACTTGCGTGTCAAAAGAAAAATTTAAATCAAACCTTCAAAAATACTTCGTATGAATAAAATTAGACTCATTTTACAAAATCTAATTTAGCTTGACGACTCTACTTTCATCCCCATAGGTATCCAACTGATTTCTCACACTTCTTGTGTTCAAATGAATCAAATTACATTATGAACTACATGTCCAAATTTGATAATAATAATAATAATAATAAACACAGAATTGTTGATGCATACCTCTATTTGAGGTAGTTAAGAATAAAATTTAAGAAAAATTAACAATCTTAACAATTAAACAGTCATGTTTGACGTCCTTTTTTACATTATTTTTTCTTTATTACCCTTTTTTCGTTGCTCATTCTGCATTTGAGTATAATTTTGTTAAGATTCAATTAAATGAATTGTGACTGATTTTAAAAAATAAACCAAGATATAATTGGTGTTCTAATTCAAATATTATATTTGAAAAAACATTATGAGAGTTATTTGACATCGTTCAAAAAACTATTATTTGTCGTTTATATCTTGCATTTCTTTCCTATATTTTTCATATTTATTTATCATATGATTTAATATTAAATAAAATATATATACTTAAAAAAAAATACAAGTTACAAATGTACCATAAAATAAGAAGTTGGACTCATTTGGTACTAAAATGGAAGAATAAAATATAGTATTTATTCTTATCATATGTTTGTTGAACTAATAAGGTATAACAAATTCACTCGATCATTCTCTTTAATTTAAATTTTACTCAGCAAAAGAGATTGGATTAAAAATAAATAAAATAATATGATGTATTTAATTTATTGTTTAATATAATAAGAGCTCGTCATACTCAGGATTCTATCTTATTTTTCCATCTCTCATTTTCTATCATTTCTTAGTTCTTACGATGTCATGTTCACTGAGACCCTAAGGATAGTAATATTCTAATTAAAAATTTGGCTCAGAGCTAATAACATGAAAATAATAAAACTAATCTACAAGAATGAAACCTGGTTGAGCAGTGAATAAACACCAGTTACAATCAAATTATTCAATAATTGGACCCTGGCAAACTAAACACAACACAATATGCAATGGCAAAAAGTGCAGAAGCAGATGAAGCCCAATGGATCAACATTCTTATTTCTATGATCTTTTGACAGATCACTGATCAGCTAGACTTTCTATTTCAAAGGTGTTGACCCATCAGTTAGGAAAGTTCCTTTCGCTCGCAGAGAGCCAATATCCCACATCTCTGACATACCACTTATGACTCCAAATTCTAGCACTTCATGATGGATAGGATTTTCCCACGGCTCACTCCCTGAGCTTGAAAGAGCGCCACTAACATTAAAGTTGGTGTTCCATATATCTTCCAATTTCATGATGCTTTCAGTTCCAAGAGGTGAAAACTCTGGAACTTTTGCCTCCTTGGTCAAAGCCTCTGGGAAAGAAACAAAATCTTCTGCAAGAATTTGTTGACTTAAGCTCATAACATTTTTCCCTTTGAAAAGGGTACCTTCAAGTCCAAAGTTTGATGACCCTTCTATGATTTCCACAGTTGGCATAACCTCATGCACTACAGCCAATTCACCTGGTATCAGATTCTCTTTACCTTCTTTTGCCAAAACCTGTGAAAGGTAATTTGGAGACTGTTCAGTGGAAACTGAATATATATCTGGCATTTCAGAAGAGATGGTTATGTTTTTCCAATCAGGTTGATATCTCACAATCTTCCCTTCATTCAAAGAATCTGATATTTCTGTTTGGTCTTGGTGCTGCTTGACAAACTTCCTTTTTACTCTATGAGAACCCATGTCTCTTTGTTCCTTCTCATGCTTAAGGTGAGTTGAAAATGATGGGTTTTCAAACAGCTTTGCCAAGAAAGAAACCGTTTGTTTTTGTATTTGCTCTGCAGATTGGAGCCTTTGATTCACTTGTCTTGCACGTTGTAGCATTGTTAGCTGCTGTTGCTGTAACTCAACCACCTCTTGCATTAACACCCTTCTCTCCTTCCTCAGTCCTTCTATCTCAAATTCAAGTCCAGACTTCGTTGCATCAGTGTAAGGCCCAATATTGCTCCCAACCTGTTGTGGCTGAGGTGGCCTGCGCCTTTGGATGTTCTTCAGAAGATCTTTCTTTCCTCGTTGGAAAGCTTCATTAAAAAATTCCCACTTATCAGTGTCAATCTTGCGGAATCCCTGAATACAAATGCCAAGTGACTTGAGAATGGACGGAGCAGCTAATAGAAAGGGCAAGAAAGGGGGAGGAAAGGGAAAAAAAAGTGAAGGACAATAAATTTTGTTTTAGTTACACCAGAGTTTGTCTTTAGGAGCAGATGAAGCTGTGTTGGAATATGCATTCGGTGAATCCAAAACAAGCATAGGGAAATGGTTAAGATGATTACATATACAAAGGAAATGTAAATTCTGGCAGCATACAAAGGCCCCACAAAACATAGAACCCTCCCGGCTGAGGATGCAATCCCTACTATAGTAGACACTTATATTCCTTCTGCGGCCAATTCTAGTTCTAAAATCCACATAGGAATATATCTGAACCACATTCTTATCATTCAGCTCCATCAGTAGTAGTAGGCGTTAACAGAGAAAAGTCCATAACATGGAAGTTGCCTTTTAACAAGTGACAAATAATGATAATAATTACAGACTCACTGTAGCACCCGCTGAAACACATCAAATCATTCAAAAGCGACATAGATTCAGAAAACCTATTAAAGTTGTGTCTTATGGTAAGTATCGAGACAGAGAAACTAGAGATACACCAGCAAAATACATTAAAAATAAAATAAAAATCATTCCCAGTTGACAAAACAATGTCGTCAGTCAAATATACATGATTGATCTTCATCAAACCAGTTACAATACAAACATGAAACACAGGGAAAAAAAGTACTTTACACAGTTAAAGAGAAAGGGAAAATAACAACCGTCATTTACGTAGAATGCACAGCAGGCATTACAGACTGTGTGTTACAGCAATACCCACATAAGTATTTAACTGGCGAACAAAACTGGAGAAATTGTTATGCTTGAAATGCCTTGGCAAAACGTGTCTTGCAAACAGGGTAGGATCCCACACCACGAAACTAACACCAGTGAATGCCCAGGATACAATGGGATCAATGGATGGATCTTGGACGAGATCGAAAGTCTTGGATAGAAATGGAGGAACTGGGTTCCCTTGCAAGCATTCAAGAGGCTGTGGAAAACTAATTACCTTCTCAAACTCAGCGCTTGATGAAGGTAACTGGGAAGGAGGAGAAGGAATAGAAAAGGTATCACGTAGAAAAGAGCTTGACAGCAATGTTTCATCGTAATCCAAGAGAATGGAAGATAATTCAAGTGTTCCCTCTGGAGCTGTTAATTTAGGATCATTTAGTTGTTTTGGGTTCATGTTTGTGGCTAATGAGGAAGGGTGATCAGAGAAAATAGTGGGAATGTGAAATGGTTTATAAAGGGTGTGAAGGCGGTGGTAGCAGTGAGAGAGCAAGGGGCCATTGAGATGAACAGAGAGAAAGGTGAGAGATTGTTTCCTAGAAATTGCGTTGATTCGCGGATATGAAATAGACTATCTAAGACTGGATTTCTATTTATTGTGATTGCAGGACGGGGCTAGATTTTTTTGTTGAAATATCCAATGGGATTTTGGTTGAAGAAAAGAGAGGTAGTCACTGCTCACACAGTGATCTTTCTGTGCCCTCCTATATTTACAGGCGTAGTTAACTGCAGTAGCGGGGAACAAAAAAAGAAAAGAAAAAACTGCAGTACCCAATCAGAGTACCAAAGTTTCCTTTTTAGTCAAAACAGAATAGTAAACTTGATTTTCTGTTTTGTGACAACTTCACGTCTCTTGATCCTGGGCCCAAATATCTTTATTGGTTGGGATTAATAAATTTTACACTTTTTAATTATGCTTTTATTACTAAAAGTTGGATATATACAATAAACACAATAATAAAGAAAATATTACAAAATTATATTGTTAGCACTGCTCGATCACACATTAGTGGCTTATAATTCATGACATCGTCTTTTTTACATTTTATATACAAAAATAATAGTAAGGATAACTTATACTAATACCAATAATTAAGGAACCAGTGACACGTTTGATATCCAGAGGTTCCTCTATATATTAAATTTGATTTTCTCTTTCCATAATAATCTCTTTATTTGGATTCAATCCATATGAATCTGACTGAGAGAGTAAAGTCAAGTTCTTTGATAAATAATTACATAAAATTTTACCTAATGATAAAAATTATAAAAGATATGATCATTATGCTGATAGCATTCTTTCAAATTCTTGTCAGAAAATCCCCCTCAGGCTGTCCTCCTCCGTGTTTTGAAATAGGAAGCTTGGCGAGTAGCTCTTTGGGCCCTCAGGCCCGCTACTATTAAAAAAGGGTACATTGAGAATAAGTGGTTTGTTTAGACCCCAAAATAAAAAAAAAAAGTAAGTGGTTTGCCAAGTTTGTGATGGATGCTAGCGTCTAGTGCGCTCTGTGAGAATAATTCTGTCCACGCTGAAGAATATTTGTAGGCTGGGTGCACTGTTTGAAGTATAAACAATAAGAGCAAAAAGAGAGCCAAAAATTCGTTCGTGTTTTCAGATTGTCTTCTCTACATATTTACCCTCTGATTCTATTTTAGCATTTTTTCCAAACCATGAGCCCGGAAGTACTATACAATACGAGATAATGCTACAGGACAAAATGGTTCTTTCTGTATTTCAGCATTTGTATATGATGTAAACCGTTTTTTTTTCAAATCTATTTTACTTTGCACTTAAGATTAACCTAGAAAAACTTGCTGCCTTGTAACATATTGAGCACGGGTTTAGTCATAGCATTTGAGATTACCAAGCAAGTGACAGGGTCACAGGAGCCGCTAATTTGGTCACACAACGAATAATACATAAAGTAAATGCAAGCTGGTAGCTAGCCAATTCATTTTTTGAATGGATGATTTATTCCCCAAAAGCAAGGAGACTCTCGAATAAGGGGGAGTGGAAAACGCCCAAAACAAAAATTCAAGCATCCCTTGCCGTTAAAGAGCTGCTTATCATTAACTGAATATATTACAATGAGAATAATTTTACATACAAAATTATGGGTGAAAAAAAAAATTATACATTTCTTCACAAAATTATTGGATCGCCTAATCACACAATATTTTGTTGGAATAAAGATGGAGTATCCTGGCTTTGCGTTGAAAATAGTATTCTTAATCCAAATTATAACAAAAATGTACAACTGTGCCTCTGCAACTGAAAAACGAAGTGTTAGTTTGACCCCAAGGGCTAAGACATCTTTTACCAGCAACAACCATCAAGGAAAAAGAACATTAACAACACCAACCCCTTCAACCAAACCCCTCTCCAACACCCAAAATCAAATAAATAAACTTAATACATAAGCCTACAAGTCCCAAATAATTTTGATTGAGTTGCAACTGCACTTCAGCACATTAAACTTTCCTTAAAGAGAATGATAATAACAAGGCGAAAATATAAATTACACCCTTCAGTTACAGAGGTCATGCAAAAACACGTACACACACACATGGTTTTAAACTCCGTTAGTGCTCCCATTCACCTTACTAAAGGAAAGCACCGCACTAATGGAGTGGTGACTATGATTGAATCAGCATATTATTTTATATGAACCTACAGCTTAGTCGGTGAAAAAAGCATTAACGTTTTCTCAAATGAAAAAGTTCATCAAAAACCATGAATCCGAATAAATTCTTAGAAAGCTGAGTGATATCGGAACTTCACTCGGTGTAACGGTTTGAAGAAGAAAGTTTCTAGGTTTGGTTTTGAATTGAATTGTTGGAAGAGACATCGGCATCATGCTTTCCTCTAACTACAACCCTGTGTACCTCTCACATCTGCAGCTCTTTTATCCTTCTTTGCAGACCTAAATGTTGATCTATCCCTCTTGAGAAGCCACCTTTCTCCAGCTGGCAGTGGACCTGGGTTTGCAGGGTCTAACCCTTCAGGATATTTGCTCTTTCTTTTTCTTATAGACTTTGTTTTATTCTCTCCTTCCTCATATGTTTCATGCGAAGGACCCTCCCTTAACAGGTTTCATTCCAGAAGAATACTCCAACCTGTTCATATTAAGTCCTTTGGTTGTGACAAATTTGGACAAGGCAAAGAATGGGTATTGAGGTCATTTGTCGTGCTTTCCATTTCCATTGGTGAGGTAGAAGTGCTAATGGAAGGGTAGATAGATATACACATAGAGGAATGCCAACAAACCAATCTTTTAAACACATTTTCCAATATACTTATTGTGATATATTCATTATTCTAGTTGTATGATTCTTATTGTAAATGAAATGCACTAGATCATGTACTTTGTTAGTCTGATATGAGGCAGTTAAGATCTGTTAGATAGTTAGTTAAAGTCCGTTAGTTAGTGTCTCAGCCTCATCATATATACTTCATGTAAACTCATTTTCAGTTTTACATATAATACACAGATTCAGAAACTCCTATTTCTATCACTTTCTCTCAATCTAGTAGTTAGTATTTTAAAAAGTCATTACGAGGCAAGTATTTTGACTTTTAAAAAATTGACTAATTGTAAAAAGTGTGTTGAATAGTACATTCAAAAGAGTGTTACTAGCATTTTTCTATATACATTTGGGTGACCATGAGAAGTCATTTTGATGAATTTATATGCACTTTTCTTTCTTTTTTTCGAAAACCCCCTATAATATAGTTTGGAATCAGTAATTTGCATTTTGCCCTAATAATAATTGTTAAAGATGTTATAAAAGTATAATATAATTCGTAAGTCTTTACCATAATAGCTTAAGCTGTTAAACTTGTTAGTTCATGATATAGTATCAAAGCATGTGGTCTAAAGTTAAATCCTTCTCAACCCTATTCTTCTAAATAAAAAAAGGTCAAATACACAAGTTAAATGGGTCTGTGCATTGTCAATGCTTAAAGTGCAAATGGCTTGTGTGAGATGGGTTAGAGATATTATAAAAGTTTAAAATTGTTCAGTCCCCCTAACAACTTAAGCTTTTGAGATAGTTGATTCACGGCATTAAAAATATTTGGAAGATAATGTCACGACTCCTTGCAATAGAAAATTGATAACCATTTCCCATACCACCAAACACAAAAAATATAAATACTATATCCAAGCAAGATTTAGTGCTATGCCAAGTTACTATGGAATGTGGTACGCACCTGGGACTATTGAAACAATGTATTCCTGTTAGATATTAAAACTAATAAATCCTGTAGTATGTGCATGAATAACTACGATTCCACACCACTCAGGTAAGTAATGGCATGTTTGGATGACTAGGTTGAGGTGTAGGGGGTTTGAACAATACTTTCAAAGAATCCATAATACTTGAAAAAGAAGGGCGTTTCCAGGGTTCACTGCAGTTAACCATGCATATCAATAAATTTCATAAAGAATATTGAAGCAGAATACAAATGAAAGATATATCTGCACTCACTTGGCCCAGCAAGCCTCAATTATTGAGGCTAATTGAGGATTTAAATCACGTGGTATCTCAAGTCTTTTTCCCTTAAAGCCAACAGCTGCCACGACCTGCAAAACATTAAAGATTTGTGAAGACCAAGAGGCCCTACAACTAACACACTAGAGATAGCAAAAAATAGAAACAAATATTGACGCAAATTTCAGTCAAAGTAGAATTATATGTCGATGACAAGCCACAATGGAACAGAATAACATTTCAAAAACCACACTTAGGCACACAACTATGACTCCTCCAACACTAACTAGTTATTATTGGCCAGCTCGTGCTTCAACCAATATTATTTTCTTGCAATCATATTTGGATTTCTATTTGATGTTATACTTTTACAGTCATCAGATCTTAAAGAAACTCCCATAAAAATCAAAGCAGTATAATCAAACTAGAAAATCTAAGCATAAACACACTGTAATATATAATATATCAAAGTTATATGACAAACCTGTGCTGGATTCAAATTACTCCATGGCTGTTGCAATGTTGCAAGCTCCCACAAGATGACACCAAAGCTGTACACATCTGACTTCTCATTGGATGGCTCATTACGAAGAACTTCTGGAGCCATCCACTCAGGCTAGCAAAGCAAAAGGAGAGCAACTCACTGTCTAATAAAAATGACCTCGAAACATAGGATACTAAATACACTTTTGAAAGTAAACTTACAGTCCCAGCAGCAGACTTGGATGAGAGAAATGTATTTGCCTTTAGTCGGGAAAGCCCAAAATCACCAACCTAAAGAGAAGGCACAAGTAAATAAGGATATGTGAAAATTCAAGTGGCTTCAATAATATCCCAGTAAATAGACCACTGAGAAGTCACCCTCCTAGAAATAAATTTTGCTAAGACACTGCGCATAATATAGTTTACATATTAAATTGATTTTCTTCAATATGTCAAATTTGAATCAGATGCAAATAAGCTGAATGTGGAAACTTCCATCAACTATGGGCAGACCAAGTTTTGCAGTAACGTTCTATCTTCCATCAGTTCACAGAAGTTTAAAAGAGATGACTGGCTAAATGAACATCATTCAATATAGACTATGTTAGTGCTGTCACTATAGCAAACACCAAAATGGTGTGAATTCCAGTGATTTAATATGAGCTTGTGATGGTAGAAGGGAATTTGGAGTGCTGGAGAAGCAAAACCACATTGCCAAGGGGGATAATGGATTAAATGAAACTCTTACAACAATTTTCATGCACAAGAAATTCTAATTCTTACCTTCACTGTATATTTCTTGTCAACAAGAAGGTTTGGAGATTTCAGATCTCTATGAACAATAGGAGGATTGCGTTTATGAAGATAATTCATCCCCTTAGCCTGCACATGAAAATGACAAATAATTAACAAATGGATACAAAGGTATAAAATCATATTAAATAAAAACATAAAAAGAAATGTTTATTTTCTCAAAATTTACCACATCATAAGCCATACTAAGCCTACGTCTCTCATCCAACATCTCTCTGGCACCAGGTTTATGCAACAGCCTATATAAGCTACCCCTGCACTTAGTTCAATCAAACCCTTCAAATCTCAAGTGTAAAATATGTTGTAGCCATCAAAAGAGTTCCCTCTTATGTGGGGGACATAAAGAAACTGGTAGATGAGATGTTGTAAAACCTTGACAAATATTCCGTGACAATTGATAGATTAGGAGGCTTAATGACTGCACCCATAAACAAAACAATGTTTGGATGTCGCAAGCCTTTCATTATTACAACCTAGCAAAGGAGGTGAAAATAAGCTCAAATCAATAGCAAGCAATACTTAAAGCACAATTGGTGATTTTATCTGCACAAAACAAGATCAAAACTTTCAAGCATACCTCCCTCAGGAATTCCTTGAAGCTTTCAGTTTTGAAGTCTTGTTCCATCAAAATCTTCACAGCAACCTCCTGCAGTGCTTAACATTTTGAAATATATAAACAAGACAGAATATAAGAAATAGATGCAACAAGCAAGTAGAGAGGGAGAAAGATGTCTTGAACAAAACTTTGATTAAGCAACACATGTGCATACACCTCCAAAAATTAGAAACAAATTTGTATTCAAAACCATAACACAAACAACAATAACAATCAAGCTTTATCCCCCTAGGTAAGATTGGCTATATGGATTACATGAAGTTATTGAGCTTGGTAAAAAACTAAACCATAACACTAACAAGTGAAAAAAATTAGAAAAGATAGAATTGCAAAACATAAGAACAAAAGCTTTCCAGTGGAAAGCAAAAAATGCATAAAAATATGCCACCCTGAAATACCAAGGGTTCATTTATTTACTAAAATTAAAATAGCTAGGGAAATAGTTCAATAGAAAACATTGATGTTCTTGGACAACAAAAATTTTTTAATTATGCCTCTGGTTTTTCATGTGTAAATAAATTTGAAAACCACTTATAAGGTTTGGCTGTACTGTGGCAATGGGTTATTCAAAATAAGATTGGGAAATGGGAAGCCAATCTGCAGCTACAAACATCCAACAGGTTATGGACTGGATTCTGCTGGTCAAGCACTGCAACCATCAAATGATAAGAAGTCTTATTTTAAGAGTACAATTGTAGGTAATACCAAGATAGATGTACAAACATTAGATCCAGCTAGAGGATGCACCTTATTTTTCAAATGCCCTCGATGATTTTACCATACATCCACACATATATAATTTATAAGCACCAAATGTGTATGAAACAAACTTTCACAAATACTGAATAGAAACCACCTAAACTTAGAATTTGTGACTATTGTACAGATACAGAGATACAGATGCCATTCGCTTACTAATATGCTACTAAGTAATAACATAGATGATTTTGTAAAATTGCCCAGATACAATGACAGAGATGCTAAAAACAAATGAACACAGACAACCCATAGAAACAACGAACAACCATAAGTTAATCTTATGCTATATTATGCAGCAACAATAAAAGCAAAAATGGGAAAGAGGCTTACCGAGCCATTCCACTCAGCATGATGTACAGTTCCAAAAGAACCTGAAAATATAACAGACCAAATTTAATTAATAACTATTGATACCAGTGCATAGATCATTCTACAGAAATCATGTAATGCTAGTAATTTATTAAAAACTGCGTGTTAACATAAGCTCAGATTTTATTGCTGAATTTCAGAGCATCTTGTAGGAGCATTAGTAAATTTTGTAGTGGTGTGATATTTTTGCAGTTCTCTAGTGTATTTGATTGGGGAGCAATGCTCATATTGTTTTAGGCACATTGTTATCTGATAGTAACTGGTATTAATAATGAAAATAGGATAGAACTCAAGGAGGAAATCTATTATACAAGAGAAAAAATACTGCTCAATAAACAGAAACACAGTTACTCTCATACTGACTAAAAATCGAGAAAATGCAGCAGTAACAGATAACAAACACAGACTCAAGTCCCCAGGCCTAAGCCACCTATTCACTCCTAAAATTCTGTTATGCCTCTCCATTCTCCACTATTTTCAAACCCCTTCTTATTCATGTTTCTTTCTCTCTTGGCAATGATTGCTCAATGGATTTGGATCCTCTCATGTACATGATATGGTCTTGTTAGAGAGAGAAAGACCCAAGAGAAGCACCACACCCACTAGTTATTTTTTTCATCACATTAATAAGTTTACCTGTTTTTTTCCTTTTTCATTTTCATTGCTAAGGATGATGAATGCTACCTTCTTTTTTCCCTCTTCTCTAATATATATGAGTCAAAGGCCCGTCATTACTTTATCCTACTACTACTAGTGTGCGATAGCATACTCATTGAAACAAGTCAAATGACTTTTCTTGCCATTACTTCTTTTAGTGGAAGCTCTCCCAGTCAGATATGCAGGGGGATTGAAGAACTGTATTTGCATTGATTGGCTCACTTTTTGTAATTTTCTTCTTTTATATTTTTGTTGACACTACCTTATCTTCCTTTTTATTTTAAAAATCAAAATTTTAAATAATATGCAACTTATAGAAGAGCATTTATACCTGATCCTATTTTCTCTTTTAAAACAAGATCAGTCCATGGTATGTCCAAATCCTCCATGTGAAGGGCAAGCTCTTTACTAGGTTTGCTAGGAATAAACAATCCAGGATGGTTATGCTTTAACGGCAATGGATCCTTGCCTGTAGTAGTCAGTTCTACAACGTTCCAAGGAGGGTTGACCGAGTTAAATGTTCCAGAGCTTTGATCATGTATGCTTGGATGATAAGCTTGCGAATGCAGAAGAACAAAAGAACTTTTGTCACTATCATTTTGAATTGGCCCAGGGTTCCTGTCCCTATACTTCCCTTCAAACTGTTCTGTAAAGGAGAATCTAAAATACTCATCAATAACAAGTACTGTAATATTAAATCCAGAAATCCTGTACTTGCAGCAAGTTATAAAACTTATAGATAAAATGTTTTTAGCTCATGTAAATATGACTTAAATTTTGTTTCAGTCATTCAAATTTTCTGTTAGTTTTAGTCCTCATAAAACTTTTGAAAATAATCCCTATTATCACTTACTAGTCACTAATGACCTGACATGCATCTAGCATGCTGTCACTTGTCACCCACCTCATAAAGGTTGTTGACATGGCAAGTTAGATGCATGCCACTTCATCTTCATCACAAATTGATAAAAGATACCTTTTAAAAAAATTTAAAATTTATAAGAACCAAAACCAAAAAATAAAAAATAAAAAATAAAGGACAAAAACTAAATATAGTCATATTTATGGAACAAAAATATTTAAACCTAAGAATTATTCAAACATACATTGGTAGCTTTTGGGCACATGGACAAAATGGAATAGATTTTTTTTCTGTTCCATTTTCCTTGGTTGAACCAAAAGTATCATTTTTAATCCCATGTCCTGTTTTGTTCTACTTTTAGAGTGAACCAAGCATAGAATAGAAACTCATGCTATGTACCATTCTAACATGTCTCACAAGCACTACCAAAACTGCACACCAGACTGAAGAATGACAAGCAAAATCACAGCTAATATAAAACTTCCTACATGAATATCCATACATGGTTCATGCTTTTTGGCATTATTCAAGATATTGACCAGCTCACAAGTTTATTTAACATCAAATCAATCACACTTTATTTTATACGTATTTAAAGAAATATTTAATGTTGTTATTCAAGTTCATTCTGCAAAGAGAATAAATGACATGTTTAACCCCCTTTCTTCATAAAAACTAAATAGTAATTCATAATGGCAATCAATAGGCTTGACAGAGTATCTTGAATTGTTCTTTCAATTCAACAATTGAGAACTCAACTTAAGAAGAAACTTGGAACATCATTTAGTTTAAACATCAGTGCAGAACCAAGATCATTATTTTGCTTTACTTAGGCAACCCAATTTCTTGGGATTTCTTATGTTGAAAAGAAAAGGATTTTGTCAAATAATTGCAGTTGACATATACAAGAAACAAAAATAGTGATAGATGCTGTCTAATCACTTACTAAATTTAAGAAGAAAAAAAAGATAAAAACAGGACAGGGATATTATTCGACTGTAATAAGAAAGCTGTAGACTTTATACCAAATTTGGAAGGTAAACAAATTGATTGAAGAGTTAGCATACAGATGATACCATTCGTTATTAAAAGATCAAGGACAAGTAGGCATTAATTTTTTAAGTAGTGTGCCAATAAACACTAAATAGATCAAGATACAAAATGGCAATAATATCACAAACCCAGATTTAGAGGATCATACATTGAATAAGAAACATGAATATCACCTGCAGAACCACTATCAAAGTCAAGCTCAAGAGCCAGACAATCCGAGAAATATTGTTTGGCCAGTGACCTGAAATCAATGGTAGGTTCAGCTGGTTTAAGTCTTGGAATGCGCAAGGGTGAAGAAAATGAAATGGAAGATGGACCATTAAGCAAGGAATCAGGCTCGCATAAGCAACCTGGCTTCCCAATAAGATCAATCATGTATTCCCTGTAATTATATGCATATGGTGTCAGACTGGTGTGGTGTTATTTCATAGAATGTTAACTGCAAGGCTACACTGCATTCATAATTTTACATTTTATCATTCCATGGTCACAAACTCAAAGATCACAGCTCATGGTAAACCACTCTTTAAATTGAACTCCTACTTGTAAAGAGAGTAACATATGTGCTTAGCAACAAAACATATACCTGTCAAGCCCAAATCGAACAACACATGAGGAGGCATCATCTCTAGAACAATATTTACAGCCCTTTGCAATTCGACACGGTAAATCAATGGCATCAGCTAGTACCTGAAGATATTATGTATAAAGCATGTCAACTCAAAAACAAAGCAAAGGCATACACTTGTATTAAACCATTGAACACCCCCCTCCCAAAAAGAAAAAAAAAAACTTAAACAAGAACAATAATATAGTCAAGATGTATTACAATAATAACAATATTATAGTAAGGATGCATAATCATAGTCTTAGCTACAACATAGAATTCAAGTGTTACTTTGAATAATATAGCACGATGCCTGCAAAGTCCAGTAGATAGACTGCCAATCGGAACAACAACAGATCCTAAGCAATCTCTCAGATCTTTAATGCACTTCTTCCATATGGGAAAGAGGTCCTCTTCCCATTCAGAAGTTGAACCCCTTGGTACAAAAATAAAACATAGTTAGACTGGTGCATGCTAAATAGTTCAAAGCCAATAATGTTGAGCAGACTCACCCCATGCAATGGGAAACCAGCTTCGCAAGTTGGTCTACAACCTCTGTTGTTGTAAAGCAGCTATAAGAAATGTTATGTACCCTGTTTTCCAGTTCTTTTAAGTTAGGATCACCACGTCTGTCCACCAAAACTACTTCAAGTGAAGAATCAGAACAGGGATATATAGACTTTAGCGCCTCAATTGAAGGAATTCGTCCATTTTCCAGCAAATCAGTGCACACAGTCCATATATAGGGATCCATCCCGTGAATTAGATAAAATCCATCAGGAATTTTGTCAAAATATAATAGGCAGCCATTCACCTAGTGCACATTATCAACAAAACAAATTAACATCAATTGTATGCATACCAATAACTGAAACAAGTATATCAAGATGGAGCTAAGTCCAATTTCCTCCTTTGAAGTTTTGTAAAATTAAAGCAAATTATTTTAAAAGAGAAAAATAGGAACATAATAAAGAGCAGATGAGTATTTTTTTACCCTCTTAATTTTAATTCACACAACAATTTAACAACAATATTTTAACTTCTTCCCCTGCAAAAGTAATAATACCCTCCAGCAGCAATTTCTTTTAATGGGACAAAGCACACTCAGTCACCCACAAAGCCAAATTATTAAACACATTGTCACGATTTGTCCAACTCATTAAAATAGTACTTTTTCCAATAATTTAGCATCTATCACACACAATAACACTGGAATGTTCAAGATACATTTCCAAGATTTATCCAATTCCTTATAACAGTACACTATGCAATAAATAAGTAGTACAGGAGCATATTTAGTATTTAGAACAAGCAACAAAGAAAAGGTCTGATATTCTTGTAATTCAAGATCCAACTCCACCCTTTGCAGCTAATAAACACAACTTCAGATAGGGTTAGTAGTAACACAGCTCCCATCCATTCAAGTGAAATACCTGGATCACTGGTCAATGAACTTGAAAATCTCCACAAAATTTCATACTCATATTGATACAGTCTAGAAAATCCAGACAAACCTTCACAAATTCAACATTTCAGGCATGCATACCACAATATTACTCAGAACAACAGCAGCTTCAATTGATAGGTATACATTGCACTTAATTTGGTATAGATACTCTCACCCAACAGGCACGATAATCAGAACCATACCATGACAACGTGCATTCACCTGCCTTTTTTTTTTCATTGGCTACTAACTTACTCGTTAGAACTCGAGTTAAACATATCACATAAGATGTTGACCTAAAATGCAAAATCTCGCGCTCATGAGTTCACAACTACCACTTAAACTCTGCAATCAACTACAGTTGGAATATCACAATCCCGAAGCCACGGAACAAAATGCATAACAATCAACATACCCAAAATTTATGCGACACTGCCTCTGCAAAACACGACGACGAGGACCTCAAGACGGATTCATCAGGCATAGGATCCAGAAAATTGGGATCATCAGCACACGTGGCCTCCGAAGAAAGCCTAAGAGCCAATGCCAGCTGTAACTGGTAACTCTCCTCCGTTTGTTGCGCCCAACTCTTACCGTAAGACCCTCCACTCCTCGCCGTCGCAGTGTCCGGAAACTTGGCTTTGACCTCGCCACCACTGACGCCGACTTTGAATCCATCTTGGAGCGCGTAGCCGAAGGCGTCGATCTCATTGGCCGCGACGGTTGACAGCGTCGGCGCATAGAACTCGCCGGACAGCGAGCTCTCGCCGAAACTGTTTTCACTGGATTGCCTCTGCAACCCGATCGAAGAGTACAAATTCACGATCCGATTCCCTTGCTGAGCGAGCCTGTGATCGACGACGGAGTCCCAGTCAAAGACTCTGTCAAACTTTCCCTTGTTGTTCTTGCTGTCGCCGGAGGAGGAGTCGAACGACAGATGCAAAGCTTCTGCTACGAACTGGTCGTCGGGAGTTTGGTTGAGAAGTGAGTAGTTGGATCTTCTGGCGGGCATTTCCATGGAGGATGAGTTCCTGTTCACAAAACCCTGGAACCCGCCATTTCTTAATGGTTTGGTTTGGTTTCTCTCCCTCTGGTGAAACTGTGAATCATTTGTTTTTTTGCTTCTCTATGTAGAATTCGATTGTCCGACAGAGAATGATGAAAGCAGCGAGGTTTTTTAGTTGGTGGCGCAATTGTTATATACTATTCCTTCCTTTTAATTACTTTACTTTTAGCGGTTTCGTAACTTTTTCGATGTGTGGCGATATCCGACATCAGTTTTTCGTTCACAGGTTGGGTCAACAGGTTCCGCGGCATTTCCCCGCGGACCTTGTACGATTTAAATTTTCAGGCACGAATGTTTAATTTTATAAAATAATAATAATCTTATAATGTAGTTTTAAAAATGGTATATAGTTATAAATATTTTCTACAGTGTATATATTAAAATTAAATAAAATAATCTTTATAAAATAATGAATCATAATATAGACAGAATTTTGTCTGAATTTATTAAAGTTTGAAAACATAGTTAAATTAATAAAAAAACACATTTTTATATTATTAAAAAAATGTTAAATTGTTGTGGTAAATATTCTAAGAAAATAATATTATTAATAATTTCCAAAACAATCCAGTTTATAATTTGGACACCTCACGGGCAAGTGCATTGAATAATTTCCCAAGCAATGTTTTCGTGAACTTGCATGTTCCGGTTAATGTACAGTGTGCGGAATCATGCATCTGTATTTTGTTACATTTCTTTGAGCCACTTAAAATATCTTGCTTGTTGATTTCAAATTTAAATGGCAATATTAAAGCAGATCAAATCGTCAAAAATAGTTAACAGCCCGATGGTATTTAGGTAGGTAGGAAGCTGGATACATCACGGATAGGTGTGCATGTGGCATGGGTCCCACGTCTTTTTCGTATTGTGTCTACAAAAACAAAATACTGGATAGTTAATGAATTATAAATTTTTATTAACATTTATAATCATGATTACTATCAAACACATTGAATTAAATTTTATGATTTTTAATACAAAACTAGTATATATTACTTTTTATCATATATTTTTATATTAAAAAACTAATAAAATTTACCATATGATTTTTAATTAAAAACGTAAAATAATACTAACCCTTAATTTTAAATTTATAGATAATAAAATTAATTGTTTAATTTAAAAATATATTAATACTTTTATTTTCTATTTTTAAGATATTAGAGAGATCATAGACATTAATCTAACTTTCAAGTTTATAGATATCAAAATAAGTACTAAAAATAATATGTTAAGTAATAAGTAAACAAAAAAATATGAAAAATTAAATTGAATTTTACGATTATTAAATACGTGTATCAACTCGTAAAAATTAGTTTATCTTAATTTATAAATAAAAAAAATTATGTTAAATATTAATTTTGTCACTTATATATTAATAAACAATTATTTAATGAAATATATTTATGATATATATATATATATATATGAAAAATTATCGTCTTACACTTGTATAAATTTAAAAAATTTTACAATTTTTTATTTAATTTAAATTTAACGGTCAATAAAGTAATAAATTATAATCTATTAAATTTAAGTTAAATGAAAGATTCAGATTGAGTATAAAAATTTTTAGACTTACATCGTTATAAGAAAATTCTGTTCCTATATATATATTATAATTTTAAAAAAATGTCTTTGTTCTAGGTATAAGACCGAATGTTAGTTAAAGGTGTAGACATATTTCCAAAAAAATTTGGTAAGTTGGCCAAATAAGTTTGTTATACAAGTTTATGTATGGATATGGTCTATCGACGTTCAATGCATTTTTTCAAATACTTCATTGTTTAGAAAAATTATAAAATGAAAAGGCAGTTAATTTAGAGTGTGTCAGGCTCTATTTAATTTGGAACAAAATGTTTGTTTTTGTTGATTTTTTAAAAAAAAATTTGATAAATAAGCAAATATTTCCAAACATATTAGTCTTTTTTATTGATATTGAAGATTATGCTTGTTATATTTAAACTTTTAAAACACTTTGTAAGTTTGCAATCCAATACTGTGTTTTTTAATGTATTTTAAATAACATGTTATATGTCATGATAAAGTGATGCAGTAAAAATGATTAATTTACACTTTATAAGTTTGCAATCCAACATGTTTTTGAATGTATTTTAAATAACATGTTATATGTCACGATAAAATTGATGCAGTAAAAAACAATTAATTTGTTAATGTGAATTTTTGCTATTTTTTATTACAAATGTGACCAAATTAAAAAAAATAAAATTACTAACAAATAAGTTTAGGAGTAGTCATAAATTATCGTCCACTTAAATTCAAACGTAAGATATTTCTGTAAGTGTTATTCAATATTGTCATGCAATTCTCTATGAGTAACAGTGATGAATCACCTAATTTAAGGTCAAAGCAGGGGGATAATATGGATAAGCAATGAGATGACATGAATGTTAAAATATATAATTTGAGTTCAACAAAGGATCCGCACATTCGTTTCCTTCAAAATAGGTATGCAAGTGAATCAAATTAATTATCGACAAATGTAGTGTATAAAATTCACAACTAAATTGTGATAATTATAAACTATATGAGAAACAAGTCAGGTAATTAGTTTCTCAACGTTTGTTTAAGTTGCCTCAAACATTCAGCAACTTACGTCTCACCAAATAAAAAAATAAAATCATATAGCAGGGAGTTTTTTATTAGAGGAAAGGAGTATATTTTAATTTTAAATTAAAAAATTGTATATTTTTTATGATAATAAAAAATATTCTTAATATATTGAATTTGTATTAATATATTCATTTGTATATTTTATTATTTTAAAAATATTTATTTAAAATATAAAGTTTAAATTTTACTCTCTTGTCTTTTACAATTTCCATTCTCAAACAGTCTTATAAAAGTATATTTGGAAGAGAATTTTTTTTTAAAACAAAGATATAATCTTTAATTTTAGATTAAAATAATTATATATATATATATATTTACAATGATAAATATATAATTAATATGTTAAATTCATATAAATACATTATCTATAGAACTTATCAACAAAAATCCCAATTTAATGTAAGCATTTGCAAAAAAAAAAAAAAAAAAAAACATTTTAATACATATTTTTACATCATCAATTAATTACAATACATTATATGCAGTTTTTTAAAAAAAGACACTCTCATTGACATAACAACTCATAATTAATAATAAAATATAAAAAAAATATTATTCTATTGTTTACGATAAAAATTACATATTGTAAATAAATAAATTTAAGAACAATTTAGAAATTGAATTTTAGGTCTTTTTAAGTTTTTTTAAATGTGTTGTTAAATGTAACAATAAAAATCAGCGTCGCAAAGCATATACTGAAATAAGAATAGTAAACAATAATAACGTAAAATGGAGCTAAATTTAAAAGTTTTACAAAAATGTACTAAATAATAAGTAAAATTACAAGAATAAAACATAGACGAACTGAAAATAAAGAACAAAAATGTAAATTTGTAAACAAATATATATGATTCTTAGCAACAAAAAATAACAAAAGTCGTATATCTCTTGGTAGTTAGTGTCTAACTCAGTGGTGCAAAAAATCGCCATTCAAAATATGAAGCTTTGTAATATTTATAAGCAGTTTATCTTAATATCTCTCCTTTTTTTATAGACACTTTTTGATAACTATCTTTTGTGTGTGCTTCTTATTAACTTTTGTCGCCCATTATCCATAATCGTTCATGATCGTGCCTACTATTGTCCACGATCATTTCTTTGTACCCATGATATTTTCTTTTTGTCCACAATCTTTTCTCAATGGTGTTAACCGCTAGTTGTAACACCCCAGATTTTAGTAATATAAATTATCAATGTTTATATGTGTGAGAATGAGTATTGGAACGTGCACTCAAATGCGTAATAATGATGTTTATGTGTATTAAGTATATGAATATGTGCATGACTGGATTGAGCTAGAAATAGGCTGAGTGCTAGTGCAGGACATTCTCGCTGCAATGAGAGATGTCTCACTATAGCAAGAGGACGCTGGGTGAAAGGCATGCGTCTGTCGCCTTCTCGTTGTAGTGAAAATATCTTGCTGTAGCAACAGAGCGACAATTTGGAATGCATTTTTGGGTGCAGTCTCATTGTAGCGAGACGGTCTCGCTGTAGCGAGATTCTGTAGAAATCATAATGCAATTTCGTCTGAGATATTTGCTGTGGCGATAGAGCGTGTCACTGGAGTGAGAGATGCCTTGCTGCAGTGAGAATTTCTCGCTGTAGCGAGAGTGTCGCGATCTGAGGGGTTTTAAAAGGGGTTTAGGGATTTGAGATTCATTTCTCAAATTCCCTCTCAAATCTCTTTAATCATCTCGACCCAAAGCTCTATTCTACTGATTAATTGTCTCCAAAGCCGTTTGGGAACTTGACTGAAGGTTGAATCTGTGTGGAGAACGCTTGGAGGCCGAAATATGTGTGGAGAATACTTCCGTTGTCAAATCCGAGTGTGGGTCGTCAATCCAAGGTAAGGGGGACTCTACCTTACTTTTTTTTTTTGTGTAATTCGCTGTTACTTTGTGGAATATTGCAATGTGGCTGAGTTGGAGGGTAAGAAATGTGTAGAGAATGAAAGTTGATTGTGAAATGTGATGAGGGCCATGTACCGTGACATGTGAATATCGTGTGTGAGGACGAGAGAATATGTAGTGGATGAAAATTGCTGTGTACGGTGACGTGTAAATGATTGTAACCTACGTGCCGTGAACTACTAGTGGATGTAGGCTATATGCCATGCAATACAAATGAAAATGGGTTAGATGCTGTGTATTATGGATAATGATAGGCTATGTGTCATGTGTTGTGAAATCAATGTGGGCTTAGTGCCGTATATTACGCATGAAATATGGATTGGGTGTCGTGTGAGGCATGAATTTTGCATACGTGTAATGGGACGTGCTAACGCCGATATAATACGGTGTAATGAGGCGTGATAACACCGGTATAATGTACTGTAAAGGGGCATATAACGCTGGTATAATATGTTGTGAATTATGAAATGAAAAAGTACTGTGAAATAATGCTGACTGTGGTTATACTTGTTTTAATGTATTTTAAATGATTCGGAGGTTAGACTCTATGATTTATTGCTGCGTTTTGGTAGTGTAGGGTACTCACCTTAAC